GTCCAGAATATATTCTAGACCGGTCCATATGGACCACAACTATGACGCCACACATTTCTCAGGTCGATATAGTAAAATGATTGCCTTCTAAACTAGCACTAAAACCCCTAGAACTGGCCCGGCAAGGTGGTAATAATTATTTGGAATTTCGCGACTATTACATTTTACGATTGGAATTTCGCGTCTATAATACACAAGAATGTAGGAATTGTTTAAGAATTCGAAATTGTCAATGAACTCACATTTCTTTTCACTTGGCATTATGGATTATGGCGACAGTTTTGTAATATAAATGGATGTTGATCGATCGACCCTTTGAATTGGCTATGGACTTCGGGACTGATCTAGTCTGTCCCACATCATTTGACACTGGATACTGCATCTTTTATGCGTGCTATTATCTTCCACTGCTCTTGATGTTATACTATCAATGGCCATCAATTTTTTTCTTCGACATGTATTGTAATGACTTCAATATGAATGAAATGTCCCTGGTGTTTTGGTCCTGGATTATGGTATTGACTCTTGTTTTGGGGGAAGGGAGGGTGTTAGACATTATCTCTTTTCATGTGAGGTTGAGGTTTTGAGATATATACAGTCTATTTTTCTTCAACAGGTTTACACTTTAGAGTTTGCTTTTCTTGCTAGGTTCTTTTGTTTTTGGTTCTTTCCCTTTGGCATATTTGCTTAGACATTTATGCTCCGGGGAAGTATATACCAAGAAGGGGAAATAATCCTTAAAGGATCATATTTCTACATGTTCACATGCAAATTCCTTACACTGAAGCTTTACCTCCCCAATAAAATAACACCATATACAAATGAAATTCCTACAAGTTGCTTTGAAAGCACTTTTATTATATTTTTACATTTAATAAAATTCAATTTTAATAATTTACAATTCTGTGACTATCTACCCAGAGAGGGGAGTTTATGTACATAATTTTGAATTAAAGCCTAATCAAAAGCCAAATTCAGACACAACTAAAACATGATTTTCTAATACTAACATTGCTAAGGGATTATATCAAGAGATTGCACCAGGACAGGGAAAGATGTTTTATCTGGAGAAACAACTACTCCAATTCCTGGTCTTGATTCTCTCCTTCCTCCGACATGATCTTTTGATACAATCCCTAAATCCACCCTGCCATGGTATGACAATAAGAAGTAACTTTAACGATGATTTATCTAAATAATGAAGGATGTCATTTCATTTAACCATTCAATGGTCTATTACAATCAACAGTCTATTTTATTCAATATTCTACTAATTTCATTCAATGGCCTGTTTTATTCATTAGTCTATTAATTCCATTCAATGGTCTATTCCATTCAACATTCTATTCCATTCAATGGTCTATTCCACTCAACAATATGTTTTATTCAATAGTCTATTAATTTCCTTCAATGGTCTATTCCATTCAACATTCTATTCCATTCAATGGTCTATTCCACTCAACAATATGTTTTATTCAATAGTCTATTAATTTCCTTCAATGGTCTATTCCATTCAACATTCTATTCCATTCAATGGTCTATTCCACTCAACAATATGTTTTATTCAATAGTCTATTAATTTCCTTCAATGGTCTATTCCATTCAACATTCTATTCCATTCAATGGTCTATTCCACTCAACAATATGTTTTATTCAATAGTCTATTAATTTCCTTCAATGGTCTATTCCATTCAACATTCTATTCCATTCAATGGTCTATTCCACTCAACAATATGTTTTATTCAATAGTCTATTAATTTCCTTCAATGGTCTATTCCATTCAACATTCTATTCCATTCAATGGTCTATTCCACTCAACAATATGTTTTATTCAATAGTCTATTAATTTCCTTCAATGGTCTATTCCATTCAACATTCTATTTCCTTCAATGGTCTATTCCACTCAACAATATGTTTTATTCAATAGTCTATTAATTTCCTTCAATGGTCTATTCCATTCAACATTCTATTCCATTCAATGGTCTATTCCACTCAACAATATGTTTTATTCAATAGTCTATTAATTTCCTTCAATGGTCTATTCCATTCAACATTCTATTTCCTTCAATGGTCTATTCCACTCAACAATATGTTTTATTCAATAGTCTATTAATTTCCTTCAATGGTCTATTCCATTCAACATTCTATTCCATTCAATGGTCTATTCCACTCAACAGTCTGTTTAAGTCAATGGTCTATTTATTTCATTTCCACTCAACAGTCTTATTGTTTTATTCAATGATCTATTAACTTCATTCAATGGTCTATTCCATTCAATGGTCTGTTTATTTCAATGGTCTATTATGGTCTATTCCACTCAACTGTCTGTTTTAATCAATGGTCTATCTATTTCATTTCTACTCTCATCAGTCTGTTTAAGTCAATGGTCTAGTAATTTCATTTCCACTCAACAGTGTTTTATTCAATGATCTATTAACTTTATTCAATGGTCTATTCAATTCAATGGTCTGTTTTTCAATGGTCTATTAACTTCATTCAATGGTCTATTCCATTCAATGGTCTGCTTATCTCAATGGTCTATTAACTTATTTCAATGGTATATAACCATCATTCAATGGTCTATTCAATTCAGTGGTCTATTCCACTCAATGGTATATTAACCTCATTCAATGGTCTATTAACCTAATTCAGTGGTCTATTCCACTCAATTGTCTGTTTTATTCAATGGTCTATTAACTTCATTCAATGGTCTATTCAATTCAGTGGTCTATTCCACTCAATGGTCTGCTTTATTCAATGCTCTAAATTACCTTAATTTAACAAATCAATACATTGTGATTCAGCATTCCATTCAATTAAACTTCATTATTCATACTTTCAGTTGAAATTAATTTTCATTGTGTGTTCTCCATATATGATGGAACATATTTCCATAATAGTTTTGAAACAATAAATACAGCTACAAACATTCAAGTAAAATGCTCCAAACATTGTTCACAGGCATTCGTTTATAACATGAAATCTGATTGAGTTATCGGAAGAAAAGTTAAAACATGTACTGGTATGCGTGTACGAACTTGAAGTACAATATTTAATTTGGCACAACTGTGAAATTTGAACGAAGTACAATAAGTGAATATTAAAATCAGCAATCTTGATACTACATGTAATTGGTGACTCTCCGCATTAGAGAAGTGACAGGAAATGTAGCCGATTTTAGACCCAAAGTCTCAAATAATTGGTCAAAACAGAAAAAATATTGGGGGGGTCATTCCTAGTCAAGAGATTACATCATCTACTGTTTTGGCAATATTTAGAGGGCAATTCGTAGTGCTTGTTTTCATCTAACTTTTTTAGAACAGTAGAAAATTGATGATTAGAGACAGCCAGACCTGACATAAGAATTTTGATAAAGTTTTGGCAAAATAAGCGAAACACACTTTGAAGACAAAATGGCTACTATGTACTTTGTGCAGCCTGTCCTTAACCCGATCAGATCTTGGCACTAGTCTGCTCTTACAACGGAGTATTCAGCTGAACAAATTAAATAAGCAGTTTCCTGCAATTTTGATGAGAAGGGAAAGGCCACCTGGAGCCCTGATGCATGCCCAGCAGCACAAAGCAAAAACGTAGCACTTTCCCAAAGTGTAATAAAAAGGGAGATATTATCGAGGTGTAAAAAAGTTGATTTTACTTCATGTAAAAAAGCTATGTTCAATGTTGAAGCATTTTTCAAGAATAACATATATGTACATTTAACTACAGTAAGAATGCATCCTTAAGAACCCTTCACATGGTACACTCATACACACAAAACACATACATACATACATAAGATTAAAACCATTATAGTCAACAGGAATAAAAATATACCGGTTATTATTATAACATGACTAATATAATAGTAATATTAAAGTTAAAATTTACAATCATAATTAAGTTTATCATAATATTTATAATTTAGGACACTAAAGGTGCCTAGTGTTTTCCTTTAGTTATACATTTATAGCTACTATATTACACTGTAAATTAATTAATAATGTAACAATACAATACATAAATCGTATCAAAAACAAAGCATACATTCGTATAATGAAGTGAATGAATTAACTAAGACCCCTTAGAATAGCATTAATTTAAGACTCCACGTAACAGTCATTCTCCTCTCAGATAGTGCTCTAGTAGTATGTAGATATGAACGTTAAAAATACATGTAATATCAGCATTCAATGTCTCGTTTCAGGTCAAGAATCAAAAGCAAATCTGGTAATTTAATGCACAAATCATTAAATTATTTAAAGCCTTCACAGTCATGGGCGTAGCGCTATTTTTCTAAGAAGTACGCCACCACCACAAGAACAAGAGTTGGATGAATCAAAAAACGAGCATTCAGGGGGGTCTGGCGGTTCTCCCCCAGGAAAATTTTGAAATTTGGCTGTATTTGGAGCGAATTTGCAACCATCTGGTACGCCTGTGCGTACCCAGCGTACCGGGCGCTACGCCCATGACAGTTATGTGTAGAGAAATTCATTTGATACTGAACCTTTTAACACAAGAGAACATAATTCTGAAGACAGATAGTGATATTAGTATTTTTAAGTTTCACTGGAGCAATATTTACCCACAATCCAATTGGATAGGTACAACCCAAGATAGTTATGCCATCTATACAAGTCCTTGAAAACAAAGATATGCTAACATGGACAGTTCAACATAGATAGGCTGACAGACAAACATCTGAAGATGATCACCAATCAAGTAAAATATAAGACTAGAATGTAATATGATGAAATCCATAGCTGCAACTCTCCTGAAAACGGACCGGGTCAAATGCCAACATTTCTTGAGAGACTAATACAATGTTCTCCACAGGATTTTTTCTCCAGTGGATGCAAAATTCTCATTTTCACAAATTACACCAAAATTCATCAAAACATGCCAATTTTTCTTGCTATTTCTTATTTTCAAGTGGGTGCAAATGGATTTTCAGATGGGTGCAAGCCTGTTTTTAAAATCTCAGGTGGGTGCTGTGCCCACTTGCTTTAATGCTTGGGAGATCACTGTAATACATGTATATTCGTGGCAAACTCCCTATTTATCAAAAATTGAGTACATGAATCAAATAAAATATACGTTCCAAAGTGAATATGTATGCTAATAATTTTAGGTCATATAATCATTTAATTTTGTCCCATCAAACAAATTTTGACATAATGACATAAATTATATGATAAATAAATTGAAATATTGCCCATTTCCTACAGCAGATTTGCCTCAAGCGTAATTAGTTCTCCGTAGAAATGCTTAATGATTTTTGATCCTTCCCTTAAGAATGAGTGAACTTACATGACTACCTTAAACAAATACATTTTGAGATCTATCTTTTTTCAGACATTGAAAATAATTAACTACAACTTTTAACTTGCATAATTGTTCTCAGATCAACCTTTTATTCAAAGATGAAATCTCCATTGGTGGTGATCTTATAATACCGCCATGGGTGGTGGTCTATACCAACAATCCTACATGGGTGGTGATCTATATTTCCATCGGTGGCGATCTATACCTCAATGGGTGATAATGTATGCCTCCATATTTCTTCATTATTATTTTTAGCACATGTATCTCATATATCGATTTCAATTTCAGATTTATGTCCAAGGTTCCCAACATAAATCTATTGTTTAATATATATGTCCACACTATCCATAATTTAACATGTATCCATACATTATCATGTATCCATGGTTTAACATGTATCCATATTTTAACATGAATCTACCGTATATGGAATAACATGTAAAAATGGTATCCTGTGTGTTCCATAATTTATTCCAAATGTGTTTTCATACTTCTAATGGTTGCTAGAAATACTTAAAGAAGTACTATATTCTATGATTTGAAGGCTTGTCCCATGGTTTGAAGGTATATCCCATGGTTTGAAGGTATATCCCATGGTTTGAAGGTATATCCCATGGTTTGAAGGTATATCCCATGATTTGAAGGTATATCCCATGATCCTATGATGCTGAAGCGACTTAGTGCTGCTCTCTATTACAATTAGACTACTGTTTCTGGTTTCGCTGCGAGTTTTGCTTCTAAGTACACGACATCTATCATTGCAAATGACTGAAATGTGACAAGAAAAATATTTACTAAACAGAGACATCTATTTAAAGATAATGTAAACCATTAAGGTGAAGGTCGTTCATGAAAATATTATATACAATCCCACATAGAGGGATATTAAATTACCTAGTAATTCTAATTTCAAATATCTTTATTTCTATTCAAACAATTTAAATTTTAAGTCAAAACCTTTATAACATTTTCAATTATCCTTTAAATATTGAGCCAATCAATGAATATATTTTAACATATAGGAACTAACTGGCATGCGATTAAAACAAATAGTTAATTGTAACAAATTCAGTAAGAATGTAGCAAAATAATAGAAAATGGACTATGAATCAAAAGTTAGGCTAATAGAAAAGTAAAAAAGGAATAAAAGGTGTTTTCACTTTTTCTCCACAATTTTCGATTAAATTGAGAGCCATTTAATGTGGAACAGTTTAGCAAAGTGAATCATCTACTTCTTATTTGAAATCATTCACACAGCACGTTATATTCATGGTTTCATTTTATCATGACTTAAAGCTAAACACAAGGAGAATATGGTATTTTATGAGAAAGTGGTATTAAAGTCCCCGTCTAAAGTTTGAATTTTTTTTTTTTTCATTCATTTACTATTTGTCAGGACTTAAAATGTGATTTTAGAGATTTTTGAACAAAAAAAAAAAATTCAAAAAAAAGTTGTGAGCATTTCATTTCTCAAATATTCAAATTTCCCGCCATTTTTCAAAAAAAGTTGAAATTTCTTAATCATCAAATATTTCTTAATGCATTTCAAAAAAGATTATCTTTTTAACACCAATGCAAAGATTGAACAAAAGACACCCTATTTCAATAATAAAATGTCATAATTTAATGGGCTACACCAATGTTTTAGCTTATCAAAAATATTTTGAAACATTAGTGATGTCACTAAGGTAACAAAAACCTTTTGAAAAAAATTGAATTTTTTTTTCGATGTCAATCTTTTCTAAATATGCTAGACTTTCATAAAAACCAATGTTGATTGTCTAACCAAATTAAAAGGAAGAATAAATTATGTTTTAGATATCATTGTACCATTGGTTTCTATGAGAACTAAAATTTTGAAATGCATTTTTCTCAGAACCATTTTCATGCACTGATAAGTTCATTTCTCGCTTGTTTATCAACTGATTTTCTTTATTTTTTCGGCAAAAAACATGGGAGGATGAATGCTATGCATTGATATGAATTGTGGCTAATAAGAAGATATGAGTGACCTCTAAAAGTTGGTTTTAAATAAATTCACAAATTTTGTAACAAAAAGTCTATCAAAAACCACTTTTTGAAATTTAAAAAAAAAGTTTCACATATCACACTTTGATAACATTGGGTAAGACTACAATATTAGCCAAAGTGGTTTAAACTGGGGCCTTTAACAATGTGGCATCTTAAGAACATTTAGGATTTCTAAAAATATGGTATTTTATGAGAATTTGGTATTTTATGAGAATTTATGAGAAATTGGTAATTTCTAAGAATTTGGTATTTTATGAGAATGTGATATTTTTCAAGAATGGTATTCTATAAGAGCCTCTGTATTATCAGCTTACCACACCATCAGCATCACTCACCAAACTCACCTACTTATAGCCTATGGTGTATGAACCAGATGGGTGAACAAATCAACGCTTTTCTCGTCTAACAAGGCTTCCTCAATATCTTTAACACTCTGTAATGCGCATGAAAGTACAGACAACATGTAACATAGGCAGACTCAACAGTGGACATTACCCTACACTAACTATGTGATATAGCGTGGAGGTCAAATATCATCTTCAAACACCAGGAAGTCCTTGTAATATTGGCACAGCGGTTTACTTTAAAGTTACCCAGAATTCACTCGGTTTCTAAAGCAGAGCTCCTCAACCCTAAATTCATTTCCCCAGTGTTCTCTATTACAATCTTTCTTTAAAACAATCTATTCCCGAGTTTCCTACCCAGGACTTCCCTAACATTGAATATTCCTCTACCCCAGAGTTTTTTAATTCCCTAAAGAGTTCCTCTACCTAAAAGTACCCAGGAGTTCTCCTGCCCCAGGGATACTCTAACCCAGACCTTATACTCCAAAATTCAATTTCTTTCAAGTAACTACCCCATATTTTGTACCCTAAATACCGATCAGGCATTAATAATATAACATAGAGATTTTTATGGTTTTTGAAGATAGATATTTTGACCAGCATTATATCTCTATGTAGATAACTATGTAGATTACCATATACAACATGACACTATTCAGCCAAAGTCTACAGATCGTTTTAATTCAAGTATACTCTAATATATACACTATTTTAGCCTGTATTGAAGGGATTTGGTTAGTCTGCAATGTTTATGCTACATTTTTTTTGTTGGATATAATTTTTAACTTTTTTTTGTCCGTGGAAACTTCCATTGTGAATTCCCATTGAAAGGGCAAGGAATATTGTAAGGGGAAAATTTTACTGTCAGGGAAACTTCCATTGTGAATTCCCATAGAAAGGGCAAGTAATATTGTAAGGGGAAACTTTTACTGTCAGGGAAACTTCCATTGTAAAGTCCCATTGAAAGGGCAAGTAATATTGTAAGGGGAAAATTTAACTGTCAGGGAAACTTCCATTGTGAATTCCCATAGAAAGGGCAAGTAATATTGTTAGGGGAAAGTTTTATTTTCAGGGAAACCTCCATTGTAAAGTCCCATAGAAAGGGCAAGTAATATTGTAAGGGGAAAATTTTACTGTCAGGGAAACTTCCATTGTAAAGTCCCATGGAAAGGGCAAGTAATATTGTAAGGGAAAAGTTTTTTTCAGGGAAACTTCCATTGTGAATTCCCATAGAAAGGGCAAATAATATTGCGAGGGGAAAATTTTACTGTCAGGGAAACTTCCATTGTGAATCCCCATAGAAAGGGCAAATAATATTGCGAGGGGAAAATTTTACTGTCGAGGAAACTTCCAGAGTTAAGTCCCATGGAAAGGGCAAGTAATGTTGTAAGGGGAAAATTTTACTGTCAGGGAAACTTCCATTGCGATCACGCTGAACAAGACAGACAAAACTTCCAGAGAAGAGATTTTTGGAGACCTGAATCATTTCAAAGTTGACCAAAGTTTCAAGAGGATATTAGTGTGCAAAAGGAGAAACTACAAGAATTATTCAAAAATCGACTGCTTTTAGAATGGACATAATTATCTACTCAAATCCGAACCTAATTACAGACGATTTCTCCTATAATAAAGGTATCCACAGTATCTTTGAGAGTAGCATTTGCAAAATGAAATATAACATAGAATAATCATAATCATAGTTAGATAGTGGGACATATGATTTATAATATCATTTACTATTTATAGTATTTTAATCAACATAGATCAAATTATTTGGCCACAAGAGGGCATGGCATGCATTAATTAAAACATAATTTAATGAAAGATATAAATGACAACTTTAGTTGGTTTATGAAATTTTCCCATGTGTGTGACATATTTGACACTGCCATGCCATCTAGTGGTTGATGATACCATAATGTCCCATTAAAGTAGACATAACAAGAAGTACAATAACAATTATTAAGATCATTAATCATTGATGGCATTCCACTGGTGAGGGGTGATTAATTAGCCACCTTTTTACATAAGAACATCAAAATCATTAAAATCAAAGAACGTGATACCCCAATCATCAAAACTCCACAAATACAAAAATTACTGTCGATGCCTGCTCATGCTAAATAAGCACAGCCCAACATTGGAACAGCCAATAAAAACTCCCAAAAGAACGGTGTGATAGCCATTACAGAAGGACCAAAATGAGCACGCGAAAACACAAGATTGAACAAATGAAATACTGAAAAAGTGAGCACACTCCTGGATGATGGTCTCTTGAAATTCATGCAACAAAATGGTGACACGATTGGCTTAAAAAATACATTTACTTCACACACTTGTTTCTATTTGTAAAACTTGAAAATAAATGATGACAAACCACACTTTGATCATCATATTTTTTTCCGGAGAAAGAGTGAAGTTTATAGTTTACTATTCGTATTTCATTAAATGGTAAAATTAAAATAAAATTGGCAAATAAAATATCAGCAAATATAACAAACGCCCCAAAATAACTCACACCAGCAAAAGGAAAATGATAGTAACTAAGAAATCACCCCTCACACTTATCAAGACATTGTTCTGACACAACAGGCAAAGCGTAGAACATATAATATAAGCAACGATGCAAATCATAAGCCAACAAGACATAATTTGAACTTTGAACTTCTTAGCAGTCCGTCATTTAGTAAACTGGAATTCACCTGGTGTCTGCCGACAAGTATACTCATGTTTTTAAGGTAGAGCATACAACAGGTTCATTTGCAGTGAAATATCAAGACGGCTAAGAGTTAACAATATTAATTTTTCACAAGGCTCATAAAAACAACATACTTCCTCTTTGAGTTTATTTAGTATTTAATTATATATATTTAATTCATATTTTCATAGATATATTTCTAATTTGAGTAAACTCATGGCCGAGGCCTCCAAAAAGGCACTCTTAAACCAAGAAATCTTCCAGCTTTTAATTGAGCTTTTTTCCTGCAAATTGAAAAATCACCCCAGTTAAACTATTACCATTAATATGGTCCAGTTATGAAGCCCTGTGAAAGACCTGAACAAAGAAATTGATAAAGAATTCAAGAAAATGACCCCAGCTGTATACCTTAACAGCATCTTTCTCCATTTCGACCATCTGCTCCTGGTGGATTTTGTTTAAGGTGTCCATCTGGCGAGAATGTTTCATTGCTATTCTTTTTCGTTCTTCGATGAATTTTTTAGTGTTGTTACTGTTCAATTCTCGTATCCGCCTGAAAATTATTTGAACACATATCAAGAACAATTTATCAATTTAATATTGACAAAAATATGAGACTCCCAAAATTGTTCACATGTACAATGACCATTATAAAACCATTGATTGTTTATATCACTTGGAATCAAGGGATATGTCCTTCCTACGAAGGTATAGATTCAATTTCCTTAATGCTAAAGTATATGTAACATAATTTTTGGTTGTATTTTAAATGATTTTTTATGAAATTGTTGCCCTTTGTGTGCTTTAAATGATCATATTGAAAATTTGAAGATAAATGGCAGTTCTTTTGTCAACACAGGGCAATGTCTACACTTCTACCAACCTATCTCTCTCAGCTTTATTCTTTATTGATTTGTCGGACATGACAGTCTTGCTGGCCTCCATTGACTGTTTAGCCTGGCTAGATTTCAGATCTTTGTTGTCCCTGGAAAGAACATTTCACATGTGGAAACTATATTACACAGCTGAATGGGACAAAATATTAATGCTTGTCTTTGCGAAGCTAATTCAAAGAAAAGTCTAAATCTCCAATCCTACGTAAACTTTAAGGTTGCTTAATCATATCAATTCCAATGTCAATAATGGTGACTTGCTAGACTGTTTTAAGATACTTATAGTCAATGTGTGTATCAATTAGAAATTATTTCAAAACCATGCAGTTTTTCATCATTCTGAGCACTTTTCACATGATTTCTTTAGCCAAACCTGCCTGTCAAAAAGCTCCCACATGTTAAAACCACTCTCCCTTGTAAAATCTGGTAACAGGCCTTCACCTACCTGTCTTGTCTGAGTTTGAGTTCCTGTATTTGCAAACCTTGGGCTTCAAGTAAGAGTTTTTGCAACGCTTCATTCTGCGCCTTTACCAGGACCTTCTGAAGTTCATGTCTCTCTGCCATTTGCCGAGCCTTCATTTCTGACCATTCCTTTGTCTGCTGGGCAACCAAATCCTTCACCTAAATATAAAGCAGAAAGTATGTAAACGAGGGCTTGATTGATTCATACTTGTCCAGATTAAGTTATGCTATGTTCATTTTATTTGATATCAATTTTTTTGCATTACTATAAAGCATTTTACTGCATGCAAAAGTCAGGTCATTTACACATAATTTCCATTGATGTATTAATCTATCTAAGATTATATAGGTCAAGGTCATTGGAAATTTAAAAATATGAAGCAAATCTTTAACAATTAAAGCGCTTACCTTTGACTTATGTGTTGTGACTAATGCTGATACTTTTCCCTCTGTTTGGGTTTTCAAATCATTGCAATTACTCTCCCTGAAAAGATATTAATGCATAAATTATGTCAATAAAATTACAGGATATACAGAGTGTCCATAACATTTCTTTACACAAACAGTTTTGTAATTGTAGAGACTTTACGGACACCCTGTCTATGGATACCGATGAAATAATTTGCTCACCTTCATCAACAAATGTAAAGTAGAGCAATTGAAAAACTAACATAGAAGCTTTTTACATGTGTCTCTGGATAAAAATAATAATAATAAAAAAAAATACACGAATATATTGATATACACTGTATTTGTGTTGTATAGAAGAATCTATTTCAGTTTTCAGATATAATAGTGGCGTTGAATAACACTGAACTTGTAAAAAATAGTCCAGGCTACTATCGCATCAATATAACATCAATTTTATTCTTTATTTTAACCTAGGTAACACTTACTGATAAGTGGCATTTACCAGAATAAAACAAGTTGACAAGAAATCATGAAAAATTGATGTTTTGATTCAACTCTGTCGTCAGAATTGTACAAATGAGAATTCTCCACCCAAGTGAGGATAAAATCCTGGGAAGAACACCACTGATCATCCTCATCAATCAATTCATGAAATGGGCAATGTTCAGTATGTTCACCACTTACCCCTTCTTCTTTATAGCCTTTTCTAGATTTTTCTCAGAGTTGACTTTTTCCCGGTCATGTAACGCGACTAGTTTGTCCACCACGAGGGCGTGAGATTTCTGCATTGTCATGGCATCTTTGTTATGTTTTTTCGCTAACGCTTCTTCTTCTTTCTTTTGTTTTTTAAGGAATTTTTGAAAGCCTTTTTCTGACCTCATATATTCAGGGGTAAGGGCAGGTAGATCTAGATCATCTGGAATAAGAGATGTCCCAAAATTAGTTCTCCAACTAAAAAAAAAACTTGAAATGTGAACACCTGCTAAACAGATTTTACTGCACAGGATTTTTACTCAGTTGAAAATGAAAATTTCAAAGTTTTGAATCGTACAAGAACACAAGATATAACATTTTAAATTCATTTTAAACATATCAAAATGTCACAATACATGCATTTTTTTGTGGTATAAATATATTCAGAAATAGTGTAACTTTGCTTATTTTTCTAGTTAGCTTGAAATAGAATTCTATTAAGTTTGTATCTAAAATTGTTAAGAGGTACCTTTTTTGTTTTTATCTGCATTAGAGTTTTGTATAGTATTTGCATTGGACTGTCCATTGTTGGCATTGGGGATGCTATTTTGTTTCTGAGTAGTAGGTTTGGTGCCTGCTGAGCCTCCTGAAGATTTCTTTGTTTTTGGCAGTATGGGGACCTATAATGAAGAAAATTTAATGAGGTTTCACAGTTATGTTAGACGATGAAGTACTAATAATGTACATGTACTCCTAAACTATGGTTAAAGAAAACACAGAATGAAATCCTGTGCTAAAGGCTGATGTGAAAAAGTCCGTCTATTCCAGTAGGGATCAAAACCACATCCCCTCGCTTTCCCGGCAATTTCTCTACCATCTAGATGCCAAATCAATACCATTGCAAACTACAATCTCACGCTGAAGGAGACAATGTCTAACACCTATCTCCCACCAAAAAATCTCTCATACTTTACTAAACATTTGATACAATATTGTATGAATTTGTATGTATTTCATGAACTTCTATTTCCACCTGACTAAGAATTAGTATTTTGTTTCCTAAACTGATGCACTTATCAATGTGTTGAGTGTTTACTTCTTTGTATTCTAATTTGGGAAAAAAAATTAAACTAAAATAAATTACATAAATTTTCCTTACCTCGCTAATATCATTCTTATCAATACCCATCTCTTGCATCTGCTCAGCTCTTCTGTCTGCTGCTTGTTTGGGATCAAAAAGAGCATCCACCAAATCTGAAAAATAAAGTCATCTCTTATAGTTGTTTGGGATCAAATAGAGCATCCACCAAATCTGAAATATAAAGTCATCTCTTATAGTTGTTTGGGATCAAATAGAGCATCCACCAAATCTGAAATATAAAGTCATCTCTTATAGTTGTTTGGGATCAAATAGAGCATCCACCAAATCTGAAATATCAAGTCATCTCTTATAGTTGTTTGGGATCAAATAGAGCATCCACCAAATCTGAAATATCAAGTCATCTCTTATAGTTGTTTGGGATCAAATAGAGCATCCATCAAATCTGAAATATCAAGTCATCTCTTATAGTTGTTTGGGATCAAATAGAGCATCCATCAAATCTGAAATATAAAGTCATCTCTTATAGTTGTTTGGGATCAAATAGAGCATCCATCAAATCTGAAATATAAAGTCATCTCTTATAGTTGTTTGGGATCAAATAGAGCATCCACCAAATCTGAAATATAAAGTCATTTCTTATAGTTGTTTGGGATCAAATAGAGCATCCACCAAATCTGAAATATAAAGTCATCTCTTATAGTTGTTTGGGATCAAATAGAGCATCCACCAAATCTGAAATATAAAGTCATCTCTTATTGTTGTTTGGGATCAAATAGAGCATCCACCAAATCTGAAATATCAAGTCATCTCTTATAGTTGTTTGGGATCAAATAGAGCATCCATCAAATCTGAAATATAAAGTCATCTCTTATAGTTGTTTGGGCTCAAATAGAGCATCCACCAAATCTGAAATATAAAGTCATCTCTTATAGTTGTTTGGGATCAAATAGAGCATCCACCAAAAAATAGAGCATCCACCAAATCTGAAATATAAAGTCATCTCTTACAGTTGTTTGGGATCAAATAGAGCATCCACCAAATCTGAGATATAAAATCATCTCTTATAGTTGTTTTGGATCAAATAGAGCATCCACCAAATCTGAAATATCAAGTCATCTCTTATAGTTGTTTGGGATCAAATAGAGCATCCATCAAATCTGAAATATAAAGTCATCTCTTATAGTTGTTTGGGATCAAATAGAGCATCCACCAAATCTGAAATATCAAGTCATCTCTTATAGTTGTTTGGGATCAAATAGAGCATCCATCAAATCTGAAATATAAAGTCATCTCTTATAGTTGTTTGGGATAAACAAGGCAAAGACGTGAACAATATTGTACCTAAAACACAGCATTGTGGTCTTGTTGACCAAGAAAGCAAGATGGCCGCAGAAAAGTTAATCAGCTCTAGAACTTATCACTGTGTAACATATGTAAAAATTTGAATGGTTTGGCTGGAAACCAGTAGACAAGTCTTGAAAGTGAAGATTTTAGGATGGAAAATCCAAAATGGCCACCTTAAAATTTACCCAGAATGCCCGAAAACCAATCAGTTCTTGACATTGATATGTAGAAACATCCCTGAAAATTTCAGATGAATCCCTCAAATGGTTTGGCTGAAAATCTGTAGACAAGTCTTGAAAGTGAAGATTTTAGGACAGAAAATCCAAAATGGCCACCTTAAAATTTAACCAGAATGCCCAAAAACTAATCAGTTCTTGACATTGATATGTAGAAACATCCCTGAAAATTTCAGATGAATCCCTCAAAAGGTTTGGCTGGAAACCTGTAGACAAGTCTTGAAAGTAAAGATTTTAGGACGGAAAATCCAAAATGGCCACCTTAAAATTTACCCAGAATGTCCAAAAACTAATCAGTTCTTGACGTTGATATGTAGAAACATCCCTGAAAATTTCAGATGAATCCTTCAAATGGTTTGGCTGAAAACCTGTAGACAAGTCTTGAAAGTGAAGATTTTAGGACAGGAAATCCAAAATGGCCACCTTAAAATTTACCCAGAATGCCCAAAAACTAATCAATTCTTGACGTTGATATGTAGAAACATCCCTGAAAATTTCAGATGAATCCCTCAAATGGTTTGGCTGGAAACCTGTAGACAAGCTGAAAAGTGAGACGCCGCCCGCCCATACATACCCCATACATATCATTATGAAACAGATCTATTTTACATAGAATACAGCTATTAGGTTATTAGCCCTTTAAGTAAATATCCTGAAGAAAATCACTCACCTCCCCAGCGATCTGGTACATATGTATGTATGATGATGCGACAAAACACAGTTGGTAGAGAAAGTGGAAAGTTGCCTTCTGTTCTAAGAGATATATGACGGTAACCTGGAAATCAAACCCAACTTTGAAAATACTACAGAAGTACAGATTCAAACTTCAAAACCAAATTCACAATGAAACCATCTTAAATCCTTGCCGTGAAAATCTGATTTTGATAAAAACTGGTTACATGTAGGTGACCAATATTTTAGATAAAAAGTACATCAATTTAGCATGAAAACAAAAACTTAACGCTCAAAATCTGTCTACTTTCAAGAGCATCTCAGAAGAGGGCACGACTAACTATTATTCGACTTACCTGCCTGCAGGCCATCCAAAGGTAGAATCCGCTGTCCTATAAGTTTGCCAGTCTCTTCATATACTGCAATACGTAGCACAGCTAGGTCAGGTAGCACAACCTACAATATAAACAACACTGCAATACGTAGCACAGCTAGGTCAGGTAGCACAACCTACAATATAAACAACACTGCAATACGTAGCACAGCTAGGTCAGGTAGCACAACCTACAATATAAACAACACTGCAATACGTAGCACAGCTAGGTCAGGTAGCACAACCTACAATATAAACAACACTGCAATATGTATCACATCTAGGTCAGGTAGCACAACCTACAATATAAACAACACTGCAATACGTAGCACAGCTAGGTCAGGTAGCACAACCTACAATATAAACAATACTGCAATATGTAGCACAGCTAGGTCAGGTAGCACAACCTACAAATATAAACAACACTGCAATACGTAGCACAGCTAGGTCAGGTAACACAACCTACAATATAAACAACACTGCAATACGTAGTACAGCTATGTCAGGTAGCACAACCTACAATTATAAACAACACTGCAATACGTAGCACAGCTAGGTCAGGTAGCACAACCTACAATATAAACAACACTGCAATATGTAGCACAGCTTGGCAGTACAACCTACAATTCCATATAAACCTATTACAACCATACAACTACAAGTAAGTAAACTAAATTAAATATCCCAGCATCTTGAAATCTACCCTTAGTTCATTTTCAAAAGCAAAACTACTGTATGGAAACAGTGCACAATAATTGTTGGAAAAAGGAGCAACATGGCATATCTGTAGGAAGCAAAATTTAGAAAAGAATCCCTCAGACTTACCTTTCTAAAGACAAATGGCTCTTCTCCATAGACTGGGTTAAGGCCATTGTTTGGCACAGTACGTGTGCGGAATTCTTTGCGAATGGTATCAGTTGGCAAGCCATACATATCAACCTCCACATAGGTTCCTATCTTCTTGTCAGACAGGAACTGACCAGATATTACCTGAAATATAGTCCGGTAAACCTTAATTACTTCAGAGAAAGGGGAAATCCAGGATGCGAAAAGCTGAGGCAAATTTAAACAGGCGAGGTACTCAAAGGTACTCATATAACTAATGTAATATGTAACAATGAGACTCCATCTTTACTTTCAGTTGAAAATTGAAAAAAATATTTTTAGCATGTATAGGAAAATAGAACCCACTTAAAGAATAAGCTTTCTAAACAATGCCTATGGGCATTAATTTTGAGGTCAGAATCTCCAAATATGGAAATAAATATATGAAATACATTAAATGACTCTTAAACACACCTGAACTGAACATTGTGCTGCAATGACACCATCTACAGGACTTTCTGCAAATGGGTCAAATGTCCTGTCAGGACGCCTCATAAAGTCAGGCTTCAGAAGATAACCACAGTTGCCGTTGTACTCAAACTTTCCCTGGTTTAACTGCATGGCTAGATCTGGAGTCTGGAAGTTTAGGGAGACCATCTGACAACCGGCGTTCCAGAATATCTGAAATACAGAGTGGTAAAATATGTAGAACACAAGGTGGTCAAGACAACTTGTATAATACAGGGTGATCAATGGTTTAATTACATGGGTAGATCTTCAGATCAGGGAGACAATCAGCATCCCAGAATGTCTGAATTGGTATAATATGTTGAATACAGGGTAATATTCAAACATCAAAGGTAAATGCTAATACCAGCCAAATTCAACTTCAATGAGCAGTACCTTCTTAGTAAAGTTACACAATTCTTTAAAATATACAATATGCTTTATGTGTATTATGTAATGCAGTGATTAGCACCAGAAAACAACACAAATCCCCATAAACCATAGAAAGTGTGAGTCTTACCTGAGGCATGTAATTGCTGGAATCAACTCTTCCTCCCTTTGGGTAGATACGGCTCAACTGTCTCTTGTTATAACTGACTGGTTAAGGAGCATTTACATACAGCATGATACTATTGAGCGTATTATCAATTTGAATATTATATAATCTCTTTAAAGCTGAATATGTTATCAATTTGAATATGAATGTTATCAATTTGATATTTGAACATTGTCAATTTGAATGTGAATGTTATCAATTTGAATATTGATGTAATCAATTTGAATATGAATATTTTCAATTTGAATATGAAGGTTATCAATTTGATATTTGAAGGTTGTGCATTTGAATATAAATGTTATCAATTTGATGGTTGTCAATTTGAATATGAATGTTATCAATTTGAATATGAATGTTATCAATTTCAATGAGAATGTTATCAATTTGAATATGAATGTTATCAATTTGAATATGAATGTTATCAATTTCAATAAGAATTTTATCAATTTGAAAATGAATGTTATCAATTTGAATATGAATGTTATCAATTTCAATGTGAATGTTTTCAATTTCAATATGAGTGTTATCAATTTCAATATGAGTGTTATCAATTTCAATAAGAATGTTATCAATTTGAAAATGAATGTTGTCAATTTGAATATGAATGTTATCAATTTCAATATGAATCTTTTCAATGCAGAGATTTAAATATGTGATAATTCTGTACAAAAACTAGAAATGAATAAAGAAAATTGTAGAATCAATACTTCCTCAATTAGATTTTGATGTGAATGTTAATGTGAAATTTTGTGAAATGAGCAAATTTCTGTCATACATGTATATTGTATATGACATTAATATCAACTTTAGGCCTCATTTGCATGCAGAATGGCACAGGATAAGTATTTTCTCAACAAATGCAAAAAATTAAAATTTCAAAATGCGCAAGAAACAATTATATGTAATGAACAAAAGAATTTAAGAAATGAAAGGTGAACTGAATAAATAGATAACATTTCACTTTGCTATGCTTTGCTATTGCCTTTCTTTCTTACGATTCACATATACATATTCACCTTTTATTTCTTTTATAATAAAGCAACAACAATTCTAATGCTACAACTACTACAACACTGCCAATGTATACAACATCAACACAATGCCATGCTTTTTTGCCAAATTTCATCTTTTGGAAATAGAACCAGGCAATTGTTGAACATGAGACATAATCCTAGATTTCTATTAAATAGATAAACATGAATATTATTATATTGATGTATTTCTGTGTAGCCAGTTTTGACCGTTTCAGCATCAAAATAAACCTATCATAATGTGTTTTTACATTCGAGGCAAGTGTGACATCACAATGATTGACACGGAGCAATGAGATGATTTTGTGATGTCATGATACTACTGCACGAACTACAAAACTTTACGAAATTCAAGGATACTCATTCATTTCAATGACTGTGTTTTTAAGCAGGCCAAGGGCAACATTCTCGTTGAAAGATGACATATTGTAGGCAATATCTCGTTCTACAACACACATGCGCATGCAACTATTATAGCCATTACTGACAACATGGATGCATCGTGAACGTGTAAACAATCCATGGGTAGTTTGTACATGGGAGACATTGAACAATTCATTGGTAGAGTGTCAACACCGGAACATTGAACAATTCATGGGCAGAAAGTATGGGAAAAATTCAACATATAATAGGTTATCTGTTAATATAGAGAGGGGAGCGTGTGACATAAATCGTTTGAACAATCAATGGGTCAATGTACACCATCTATATGAATATGGTATTTGGAAGTACAGTATTTCAGGAATCCATGGGAAGCAGTACAAATACAGGGAATATTGAACAATGTATGGGTCATGAAAATATGTCCACCATATAATGCCATTAAGGCAGTTACATGTAGTGACCTATATTGTACACAAAATGTAAATGATAATAAATTGACTAACAATAATCAGTGTTCAAAGTGCAAACATTGGAAATATTTAAACAATGTATGGGCAAGTGTGGGAAGAATTTTAACAATGCATGGGTAGCGTATAAAAATATATAATGCATTGGTCATTGGGGTAAAAAAATGGACAATGTTTCAAATGCATTGGAGCATGGTGCTGCAAGCTGCAAAGCAAGAAAATTACTTTAAATAAATAAAGGCAATACTAAAGATCAAATTAAAATAATGAACAAAAATATAAAATATACTAATATCAAATCAAAGCATATAATACATTTTATATATGAGTATGTGTTGTTACATGATTGCATTGAGAGTCACTTTGTCACTTTATACTTGTAAAATTCAATCCAATTCATCTCTTAAAAGATCTAAAGATTTTTATTTCATGTTAAGGCAACAAACGGATCTTGGTCACTTAAGTTTCCCAAGGGGCCATCTCAAATGCTTTGCCCTAAAATCTATCTTAATATAGGACCCATACATACACCCACCCATTAATGTTATCAAAACCATTTTAAGAAAAAGGGAGATTTTTAAAAAAAATATAATTATTTGAAAAATGATTTTTGCATTTAGTTTCAAACAGCCTCATCTAGCCACTAAACAAGCAATTGCATGTAGGATTTAGAGTGAAATATATGAGATGGTCCCTTCATAACATAAAGGGGGTTCTTTAAGCAGCAAAATGCATGTAAATCTAAACAACATCAAGGTATACAGTATACACCTATAAAATATTGGCATTATATCACATCTTAACTGAGTGTATTTTTGTAGTTTATCAAAAACAGTATCGAAACATCTGTTGGCTGGGCTTACCCATTCAAATTATTAGGTGTTCATATTTCATGTTTTTAACTTGAGTAGATGAATGGAATTCGGGACCAGAAAAGTGGTTCCTTATTCAGGTGCCCGTATATAAAGGATTTACAGTAAAACCTGCGTATAGTGAACAATTTTTTGCCAAGAAAAAATGTTCACTGTTAGTAGGTGTTCACTACAGCAATGATTTGATTTCGCGGCATTTTGCCATATTATATAAAGAGACAAGCTATTTAAAGAGAGGAGGGAATATTTATTTATTCATTTATTAATTATTTATTTATTTAGATATACACTTTTTTAACAGTGGCACTCTTACATTAAGGTGCATGTAATCGAAAAATATCCACAATTCCATGTTGGTTAAAACAGCACATTTTATCAAACTAAAATAAAATGAGTCTTAAAAAGAATTAAAACATATTCATATTTGAATAATAAATTTAAATTGTATTTTCTACCCATATTAACCCATGACATTCAAGCGTTAAGTATTTAATTTGTTGTAATGCTATATACAAACTGACTTATTTTAGACTGACTGTCATCTGAATGGTTCATCCTTTTATTGTCAAATTTTTATCTCTATATAATTCTTTTTATCTCATCAAGATGGTCCTTTAAATAGTGGAATTTTTGAGACATTTGAGTCAGTTAAAGGACTTTATTGAATTAGTTAAAGGACATGATAGATGCAGTTAATAGTGAAATGATCATGAATTATAATTTTGATTCAATCGTTTTTTAAATTGACGGGATGAGAAAAAAGATTAAGTTGGGACTTAGCAGATAGAGGTAATAATAGTTAGCCAGATTATCTCCAAGCAATCAATCCCAGACGCATATCCTGTGTTACAAAAACAAAGCTTATTAAGAATTATAATTAGTCACACCTGTTTCAATAAAAGAGATCAAGATCTCAAATTGACCTTTTAATTATTTTTGGCAGGTAATATAAACATAAACTGCTTAACTCTGATAAGGCAGTTGCAGAAAATCCGCGAGAAATCTTATATCTGATTCAATGTTCACTAGAGACAGGATAATTCAATTGATTTTCCCAGGGTTTAGTGTTCACTGTTCATAGTTGGTAGGTGTTCACTATAGGATTGCACTTTAACATGGGAGTCAATGGGAGAAAAAGGTTTTGCCCAATAAAAACATTCACTGTTAATAGGTGTTCACTAGAGAGATGTGTTCACTAACTCAGGTTTTACTGTACTGTATTAATATTTGGCAAAAATTATTTCCAGACAAAATGCAAATAAGCTCTATATTGACAACGTCTTTTTACAGTATGTTTTCTCCTTCGCACGATGTGAAATCTGTGCTTTCAGTTACTGGTGTAATACTGCCAAATACTCAAATTCAGGGGCCAGTTTTGATTGAATCACCATTTAACAATTTTCCATGAAGCAGATTGTATTTAAATATGGATATATGACTCGAATTATTATGTAAAAATCTTGCTTTAAGCCGTTGTATATGCCTCACCTCTACTTGTAGATAAGGAGCATTGGTGGATTTGAGGAAAACTTTGTGCAAGGCTCATAGGTTATGACTTTGGAACCTCTAAAAAGTGTTCCACTTTAAAGGTGTAGGTGTTCCACTTATTGAAGTCCATTTAACATTAAGGCAATTGGTCATGGGACTCTGAAAAGTGTTCAAGATCCATTTAACATTAAGTCAATTGATCATGGGACTCCAAAAAGTATTCCAGATCCATTTAACATTAAGTCAATTGGTCATGGGACTCCGAAAAGTGTTCCAGATCCATTTAACATTACGTCAATTGGACATGGGACTCTGAAAAATGTTCCAGATCCATTTAACATTACGTCAATTGGTCATGGGACTCCGAAAAGTGTTCCAGATCCATTTAACATTACATCAATTGGACATGGGACTCTGAAAATGTTCCAGATCCATTTAACATTAAGTCAATTGGTCATGGGACTCCGAAAAGTGTTCCAGATCCATTTAACATTACGTCAATTGGACATGGGACTCTGAAAAATGTTCCAGATCCATTTAACATTACGTCAATTGGTCATGGGACTCCGAAAAGTGTTCCAGATCCATTTAACATTACATCAATTGGACATGGGACTCTGAAAATGTTCCAGATCCATTTAACATTAAGTCAATTGGTCATGGGACTCCAAAGTGTTGCAGATCCATTTAACATTAAGTCAATTGGACATGGGACTCTGAAAAATGTTCCAGATCCATTTAACATTAAGTCAGTTGGTCATTGGACTCTGAAAAGTGTTCCACATCCATTTAACATTACGTCAATTGGACATGGGACTCTAAAAAGTGTTCCAGATCCATTTAACAATAAGTCAATTGGTCATGGGACTCCGAAAAGTGTTCCAGATCCATTTAACATTACGTCAATTGGACATGGGACTCTAAAAAATGTTCCAGATCCATTTAACAATAAGTCAATTGGTCATGGGACTCCAAAAAGTGTTCCAGATCCATTTAACATTAAGTCAATTGGACATGGGACTCCAAAAAGTTTTCCAGATCCATTTAACAATAAGTCAATTGGTCATGGGACTCTGAAAAGTGTTCCAGATCCATTTAACATTAAGTCAGTTGGTCATGGGACTCCAAAAAGTGTTCCAGATCCATTTAACATTAAGTCAATTGGTCATGGGACTCCAAAAAAATGTTCCAGATCCATTTAACAATAAGTCAATTGGTCATGGGACTCCAAAAAGTGTTCCAGATCCATTTAACATTAAGTCAATTGGACATGGGACTCCAAAAAGCGTTCCAGATCCATTTAACATTAAGTCAATTCGACATGGGACTCCAAAATGTGTTCCAGATCCATTTAAGATTAAGTCAATTGGTCATGGGACTCCAAAAAATGTTCCAGATCCATTTAACAATAAGTCAATTGGTCGTTGGACTCCAAAAAGTGTTCCAGATCCATTTAACATTAAGTCAATTGGACATGGGACTCTGAAAAGTGTTCCAGATCCATTTAACATTAAGGCAATTGGTCATGGGACTCTGAAAAGTGTTCCAGATCCATTTAACATTAAGTCAATTGGACATGTGACTCTGAAAAATGTTCCACTTAAAGAGGTATTATACTTCACATGTTTAACTGTGTTTCAAAACTGGACCCTCAATGGTAGATGTGTACATGCAGGAATGTTAAATTAACAATAAACAAACATATATTTAATGAACATGCTGCTTATGAAGGATACTTCACAAACTTATCAGCCTCATTCTTTAAATAACCGAGACCAGTTGACTCGTTAAACGATGACATATTAAATGTGAAATTTCTCTCTGAAAATTAACAAAATTTGCATATTAATGAACAATTATTTATACATAATTACCCAGTATGAAGTCATTCACATTTTACAGACTTTTAACGTATACATTGTAGACAATGTTAATGCTAATTACTTTCAATGGTCTAAATGAACCAATCGAAAACATAAGCGATACAAGGTATCATGGAATGGCTTTGGCTTCAAGGATAGGCTTATTAGATTAAATACATTTAAAAATTGTATTCATATTCAAAAGTTATAAAATGAGGAGGGTCATTTTGAATCCTCATTTATCCATATGTCCACATTTTCAGGATTCATTATCCTTAAACTAAGGACAGCAAAAATTGAAATAATTATCCTTTCTACAAGAGAAAATAATGAAACATTTTCAATTTAAAAAGATTTTCTGAACAAAAAAATGTTACCTTCAGCGATATCAAATCCTTGGAATTTGACAGGTTGTGCGTAGTTGACGAGAGATGAGAGGTATGGGTGTATGTTTGTGGTGGCGCTAGTGTAGTGATAACTAGACATTAACGCAGCTTCTTCATCTGCCGTAAGACTGCCCTAGAAACAAAGAATTCTCTGTTTTAAAACTTCAATATTTTAAACTAAAGTTATTTAACATAGGATAATACATACTCTACTGAAAATTCTTAAACTCAAGTGTTCAAATGTCAGTAGTTGGGAAACCGCTAACATTTATTTGCTAGAGGGTTCGGGAAAGTTACTATTTCATTTGTGAAGAATGTTCATACATTTTTTGATAAACTCAAGTGAAAAGCAAATCATAATTTTCAAATTTTGCAATATGGAAGGTGGAGGGTGGGATAACAGCACTTTGAAATTAAGATTACTTTATCACAACCATCATCAAGTGTCATAAACATCGAAATCACAAATATCCCATGTTGATGTCAAAGTCAAATGTTAATAATCAAATACCCCATGTAGTTGTTAAAGGATCCAAATATCTTTACAAATTATTTGAGACATTTTTTAAAAAGCTAAATTATCCGGCACCCAGACTATTGAAAAAAAATAGATTTGTACTAAAAATGAGAATTTGGAAATTCATGAAATTTTTGTTACTTTAGATTTTACTGTTGCTGGATCCGAATCTATGACGACTTCTGCGATGAGCTCAACTACTGCAGCCTTTATGCCAGACTTGCTCTCAGGATGAGGATCTTCCTCTTCGGGTTTCGTTCGAACTGTTGGCAGTATCTCTAAAATGATATATAACATTCAGTATGATGAGCTAAATGTGTCATAGATTACACAAACATGTATGCTTGTTACGGCGCTTCAGAGACATGGTTTGGATAACTCCTGATTTGAATTGTGTTTTAATTGAAACTACATGCATTTTATTTTCGTAATGTTCCATTGAACATGTTTTGAGCCATTTTGCGAATGTGCCGTTTATATATCAAATCCCCCCCCCCTTTCAACATGAGCACACACTTATAAGACCAGAGATTTCTAAAATAGTTCAGTAATACCAAAATCTGAAAAAGTTGATAAAATATCTTGATGTTTATTGCACATTGCTCTTTAAAATGCCAGATACTATAATGAATAGTTTAACCTAATTTTATAGAATAAAGAACATTAAGAAAATAACTAACTGATCATGCTGAATGTATATTTATTCATATCAAAGATGATTATTAAATACATATAAACAATGAAACACAGTAATCATAATTGTTTAGCTGGATACTTAAATCTTTCAAATCAATATTTCAAACAACGAGAATTGCCTCGTGCTAAGAAAAGAAATGTATGCAATACAAATTTTGTTAGAAATGTGCTGTGTTGCAAACAAGAAGTTATTGCAATGTTAGTGTTATATCATTTTATTATACAAACTGATGTATATCTCATATACTTGTATAGGTAATATTATATTCATGCCATGCATTCTATCATGCCATTTCAATAAATAAAGAGGTTAGCTACACACTTTTAAGAGAAGTTGGATGAGAATGTGTGGAATTATTGTCCTTCGGGGAATAACCTCCCCTTTATAGTATTTACTCATCTAATTGAGAATAACATTAAAAGGAAAATAGTTGTGATTTGAACTAGACACATATTAGGAATAAGAATAAAAATGTACGCAATACAGATTTTATAAGGAATATGGTGTAATGCAAACAATTAAGAGGGGACGGTTACAGTGACCTCTGGGAGGGGGGGGGTCATAATATAACACATTCATTCCGTTCTCTTAAAAATATGTAGCCATACCTCCCTATTTATGGGCAACATGTACATGACAAGGATGGATGAATCATCTCATATTCAGACCATTTTAAACCACACACATCATACTACTACATGCACATATGATTTGCAAGATGCACTCTAATAATACAATGAAGGTCCAACAGTCACAATTTTTCATGGAATCACAAACATTGACAATTTTTGATGCCTTTATTGTAGGTTAACCATGCTCTCTCCAGTTATATTCAATTATGTGAAAATTTCTTGCAATTAAATTAGCCCATGTGATGTAAAAGTATCCCAATTTATAAGCAGAATTACCCTGTCCAATCCAATTTTAGCACAATTTTCTCTTAGTTTAATTTCTAGCTATCCCATTAAATTACTTGTTTGACTTCCATTTAGTATCTAGTTATCCAATTACATTTTTAACATGACTTTTTTTAGCTATCATAATGAATTTTTAACACTTAGTCTTTAGCTAACCTATTGAATTTTTAACATGACTCACTTAATCTTTAGCTAACCTATTGAATTTTTAACATGACTTTCACTTAGTTTTTAGCTATCCTATTGGATTTTTAACATGACTTTCACTTAGCTTGAGCTATCATATTGAATTTTTTACATGACTTTCAGTTAGTTTTGAGCTATCATATTGAATTTTTAACATGACTTTCACTTAGTTTTTAGCTATCTATTAAATTGTTAACATGACTTTCTCTTTGTTTTGAGCTATCATATTGAATTTTTAACATGACTCACTTAGTCTTTAGCTAACCTATTGAATTTTTAACATGACTTTCACTTAGTCTTAGCTATCCTATTGAATGTTTAACATGAATTTCACTTAGTTTCTAGGTACAGTATCCCATTACATTGTTAACATAACTTTCACTTGATTTTTAGCTATCCTATTGGATTTTTAGCATGAGTTTTACTTAATTTCCAGGTTTCCCATGGCATCCTTTCTCACTTCTACGAGAAGCTATTCATTTTGACTTAAGCTCACAGTCAATGTGCAGTTTTGGACTTAGAGAGAAGAAGTTATGGATCATAATGGGCTTGCCCCAAATTATAACTGCATACTGACTGTGCTTAAGCTATCAATTTCACTTTCCAGCTACTTCATTCAATCTTGAGCGATCCCATTTAGATAAATGATCCACTACAGTGTGGTGCTATCCCATTTATTTATCTTATATTTACTTTAAAAATTCCTGAATCTATTTCAAATCATGAAATTAACAGTGTTTTACTTGATGCATTCCCAGGAGCGTTTATTGGTAAAGTTGATATTTTTTATTGAAATATTCTGTTCTTAAATATCAAAGTTACCAGGAAATCTTCATATTATTTCATTTTATTCACATGCTTTGAGTAAGTGATATTCAATAGAAGTCCTAATATAAGCCAATGCCACCCATGCAATATATTCAAATTTACCCAAACAAGTAACATTCACTCATGTACAAGTCATTCAGCCATGAAATAATAATGCACCCATGCAACATAGAATGCACCTATGCAATATGAAATGCACCCATGCAAAATGACATGCATCCATCCAATATTACATGCACCCATGTAATTGGCATGCACCCATCCAATATTACATGCACCCATGCAATTGGCATGCACCCATGCAATATTACATGCACCCATGCAATTGGCATGCACCCATGCAGTAGTTTTATGCATCAAATGAAATACCAAATAGCTCATGAAGACAATTTATTCTTCAACTACTAAGATATCACCCATAAAAAGGTTCATATCAAATTGCCGCTAGTTGTCATTCTCAAAGGTGAATACAGTTGTGGACTAACAGACAGTAATGACGTTTAAACATCCTCAAAATATTTAATGTGCAAAATATAGAAAACTAAAAAGTGATCAAACAGATATTGTAGTGTACATGTACATAAGTAATAATATGTGACCTGAATTATATCTCCTGTCTTTAACTTAAGTTTGTAAAAGGAATATATTTATTTGATTACACATAGTCAACACAATTGATTTATAAATATTGACAAAATGCATATCAACTAACAAAAATGACAACCACAAACAATGTTATTAATTTAAAATTGGGATTAGGTATTGAATTTGGGTTATAATGTGTTAGTGTGTAGAAGTGGCATAAAAAGGGATGGGGGGTGAGGGGGGGGGGGGTAGATCACACCCACAGTAGGGAGGGAACAACCTGGCAATGCTTTTATCAAGAAATTATTATCTGAAAAGAACAATATTTTTAAATATTATCATTGGGACAATTTTGTATATGATGTCAAGATTGAGCTGTCAGTATTATGAGATGTCAAAGTAGAGTTTTGAGCTGTCAGTATTATGAGATGTCAAAGTAGAGTTTAGAGCTGTCACTATTATGAGATGTCAAAATAAAGTTTCGAGCTGTCAGTATTATGAGATGTCAAAGTAGAGGTTTGAGCTGTCAGTATTATGAGATGTCAAAGTAGAATTTCGCGCTGTCAGTATTATGAGATGTCAAAGTAGAATTTCGAGCTGTCAGTATTATGAGATGTCAAAGTAGAATTTCGAGCTGTCAGTATTATGAGATGTCAAAGTAGAATTTCGAGCTGTCAGTATTATGAGATGTCAAAGTAGAATTTCGAGCTGTCAGTATTATGAGATGTCAAAGTAGAGGTTTGAGCTGTTAGTATTATGTGATGTCAAAGTAGAGTTTCGAGCTGTCACTATTATGAGATGTCAAAATAGAATTTCGCGGTGTCAGTATTATGAGATGTCAAAGAAGAGGTTTGAGCTGTCAGTATTATGAGATGTCAAAGTAGAATATCGCGCTGTCAGTATTATGAGATGTCAAAGTAGAATTTCGAGCTGTCAGTATTATGAGATGTCAAAGTAGAATTTCGAGCTGTCAGTATTATGAGATGTCAAAGTAGAATTTCGAGCTGTCAGTATTATGAGATGTGAAAGTAGAATTTCGCGCTGTCAGTATTATGAGATGTCAATGTAGAGTTTCGAGCTGTCACTATTATGAGATGTCAAAATAGAGTTTTGTGCTGTGAGAGTATACTACACGTAAGAGATGTCAATTTAGAGTTTTGAGCTGTCAGAGTATACTGAGAGATGTCAAAGTACAATTTTGAGTTGCCAGAGTATAGTAAGAGATGTCAAAGTAGAGTGTTGAGTTGTCAGAGTATAGCAAGAGATGTCAAAGTAGAGTTTTGAGTTGCCAGAGTATACTAAAAGATGTCAAAGTTGAGTTTTGAGTTGTCAGAGTATAGTAAGAGATGTCAAAGTAGAGTTTTGAGTTGTCAGAGTATAGTAAGAGATGTCAAAGCAGAGTGTTGAGTTGTTAGAATATAGTGAGAGATATCAGAGTACAGTGTTACACTGTCAGAGTATAGAAATTCTATGTCAAAGTACAGCATTGAACTATCAGAGAATAGAAAATAAATTTATATCAAAGTACAGTGTCACACTGCCAGAGTATAGGAAGAGATGTCAAAATACAGTGTTGAGATGTCCAAAGTATATACATAGATAGGCGATCGTGCATGGAAAATGAAAAACATAATTCATTTACTATGGTATATTTAGGTTAATCTTGTCTCTTCTGCAGTACAAGTTCATGTGTTGAACTCTCTGGGGATTCTTTCCATGTGCCACTGTCTGTGTCTCTGATTGGACTCCCTTATTACGAGACCTGTGTGCTCCCTTTGGAAATAGAGGCTTTTCTGTTGGGAGACATTGAGACAATAGGGGGCATAAAGACCTGTATTTGCTAGAGAGTACAGCTTGCCTCTAGAAAGCATAATATAGAGGTTGATAGAGCATGCATGATGTGCAGGATGATACCATGCTACAACATTGATTTAGCATGCAAAGCTAGTGTTCTCTAGAAATAAATGTTGAGTTTAATCCTGACAACAATATAACAGCCCAGTTTAAGCATCAAAAGTAGCATTGCCAAGCATTCCAGATCCCTTATTTGTTAATGTCAATAGAGACAACATGGACTCCATATATTAAATGCCATATTATAATTGTACCCGACATCTTGGTTTTTGCCAATTTTTCTTTTTCCAATTTTTCTTTTTCCAACAATTTTTCTTTTTCCATTACTATTTCTGGGACCAAATCATCATCTGAGGAAGATTCTGTGAAAGTAAAAAGAGAAAACCTTCATCAGGTGTGTCATGATTCACTTGTGGTGTGTCACATGATTCACTGCGGACCTGCTATTGTACAACACCTCACGGGCCCTGGTTTAGTGCTATAAACTATGCAGCAGCAAAAATAAAGGCATAAAGTGATGCAGGCTCTTAAGCAGTGTTACTGCGCATGTGACTTAATTATAGCGTGAGTATAAAGTGCTCCTCTTGTTTCGAAACCGTTTATAGAGCGCTTCCTGTGAATGCATTCAAAGCTGACCAAATAAGGACCTGAGTACCTAGTAACACAAAACCCTTGCTTAAAATATCCCTGCATGATAACAATTATAGCTGACAAAGATCTAGATGAGTTGTCGAAGGAGAGTAAAAACAGGCAAGCCCTTTTATCTATCAAAAGTAGATACACTGGTTTGATACAATAAATCTTTTATTTATTATTATATATACAAATAATATTTTTCCCGATCCCTTATAAATTAAGCCATTTAAACCATAAAACCAGAACCAACATGCACTATGTCATAGCACAATGCGAACCACCCAATGTAACCATGACACACCCAAAGAGGGGGCCACATGCGAGGAATTAAATGCATTCATATAACACACAAATCTGCATACATCAAAAAGGTATAAAATACAATAAAATTAATGTGAATAGTACAACAGGTGGGAAATCTTAGAAACTGTAAACAGTGTAATCACAGGTCTAAACTAGGTATAGAGTCTAATAAGCCTTTAATAAACTCCTTAAATAATGTTGTCTTGATTTGTTTGAATCGTGTTGTGAGGCAATCAAAACTCACCATTCATTGGGCCGTCCTCACCATCTACAGCAACGACTGGATCAGGATCTGCGTCTTCTATTGGAATGTCTTCAGATACTTCGGTCTGTCCTTTCATATAGAGCTCCAACTGGCCTACAAGGTTAGACTAATGTGTTACAATTGCAACAGATGCCAAACTATATCTCATAGAAGAAGCAAAATTCCAACACCTCCCATTTGTCACAGATGCCAAGCACCAATCGTTGAACACCATCCACAAAAAAAGTTGGAGACTATAACAACATGTCATGACTTCTGGTGGTGACATGAAAATAGATTTTAATGCTGCAATTTTAGGGTAGCTACATGTAGTTTCTGTCACTTACGTTTTTCGACTTCAGGTTTTAACCGCTTGTTCTTGATGAGTATTTTTCGTTTCAACTGGCTTGGGGAAGGAAGGGGAACCCCTGGTTCAAGCTGGAATATTGAAATTAAATAGTTGTTTTTAATGAAACTATACAATCCGAATCATATATAATTCCTCCATTATACTGAACATTTGTTTATATAATAATTTTATGACACTTTAAATGGTTAAAGATCTTATTTTTATCCAGTAAGAAACATGAATTTAACTTCAATTTCTTTCAATTATCCATTAATACCAGGTCTTTAAAAAGTAAACTCTGACATGTATCTAATATTTTAACCATGCACTGTAAACTATATTTCAATATGCACTGTAAACTATATTACATACTACATGTATATTACATTATGCATTATGCTTACATTGTGACCAGCAATTGGAGATTTTAGGAGCATATCCTCAAATATCTCTTCACAGTATTTGGCTATCTTGTATTGTTGAGGTTTACTGAAAATTCAATCATTAAAAACATGAATCATTTTAAAAGCAATCATTTGGTGATTTTAAAGTGGCAGTAAAATTCAGAGCATAAAGTGTAAACAATTAATCTTTAGGTATTTAATTCGTAACGTTATTAAATTAAATGCACGACAGGTTTCATTAGCAGCAGGCAACAGGCGATTTTCACCGATTGTTTTCACAAAAGTGCCTGTTGTTTTTAGAGACTTTTCAACTTTTCCTATGTTTTTATGGTTTCATTAATTTTGCCTATCGTTTTCATTTATTCAGCCTGTTTTGAGAAATTCTAGTGAAAACATAAAATCATGGAAATACTTATCACCACTGTTTGTTCATTTCAACATTTGGATGTTCAAGCTTGAATATAAAATCAAAACGCCAACCCAGACATATGACCAATTGCCCATACAAATACATTGCTTAAATAACTTACGTTTGCGTTTTGGTTTTGAAAAACAGTGCTAGCTTAAACTCCCTATTCTCTGTAAATTCCCTCAAACCATACTAAATAAAAAGCTATCTTTCTCACCTACAATGGTTTTCAAATGATAGTATCACAGGGTAATCTGATGTCACGAACGCAGTATCTCTTATGGCATAAATCACATCCTAAATACCAAAAATAGATTGCTAAGTACAATGTAAACAATAAACAATACAAAAAATAGAGAGTTACATTTAAATTCATTCAAACAATAATAGATGGCATACTCATTGTCGGGATATCCATTTTGAAATCCTTGTTGTTTTTAAATAGTCTGTTTTTGGTTTGAAATAATTGCTATCTCAATAGAGTATCTTTATAACTTTTATTCAGTAATTTTTAGATAATCGTTCACTTGAATAGTTCTTGAATTATCCATGAATATTTATATTCTCTTTCTATGAGAGATACAGGCTTGAGAGTTGAATAAATGAGATGTTTTAATTGGATAATATTGTATAGTTATATATTAATAATATTATATATAACCAAAACCATTGCAGATTGGGTTAATCAAACAGAAAGTCAACCAAAAGTGTTATTTCAACAAATTGAATATGTTAATTATGCATACACTGTATGTAGTCAGAGAAAAACAAATATAGCATAGCAGTATTATTCTTGCAAATATGGGTTTGTAAAACATGAAACAGAAAATTCCTACATAATTGTAATTCAAAAATTAACGCCTAAATGCAGAAAATGATAATTTTTTTAACTTGTTGAATGAAAGCTCAAAATCTGTTCAAACATTTATTTTTAAAGAAATGTACAATTTGAAATACAAATTATGAGAATTGAAGGCTGTCAGCTCCTGAACATTTGAAGCCGTTTGACTACCTTAAAAGGGATATCTGTACACATGGCTTTGCCGTGCGTGATGATTGGTTCTTGGTCATTGTCTTTACCATCCCAGCAATCCAGTTCAACGCACCTAAAACACATTCCACAAACACGATTCAGCAATCTAATTCAACGCAACACACCAAAACACATTCCAAAAACACAATCGACATAAACATTTCTCCTTCAACAAAGCAAGTGTGCCTGCCTCATGAAATGAGGGCGTATCAACAGTAACGGACAGGGTGGATGGGTGAAATCTGAAAATGCGGCAAAAAACAAACTAAAGCGTGTAAAACTGTTGTGCAGTTGCGTGGTGCCAACACTGATATCCCAATGCTTGGTCAAGGTGTGTTTTTGAATGAGGAAAAGCATAAACTGTATAAACACAGGACTGTTGAAAACTACATCCCCCTCCCTATGTTTGTAAACAGGTGCAGGATCATCAAGGATTTCAAACTGTGTTTTAAGCTCAGTCAGGCTAATAATATAACTGTAGTTTTATGAAACATATGAGTCTATGTATTGTCTCTGACCAAACATTTATCTGTTTGACCAGTGTATAAAGGTATGATCTGGAAATTTGGAATAACCGTATCCTCCCACACAGTAGGATGTTAACTAAGGGTCCAGATCATATCTGTAAATACAAAGCCAACTCAAGATGAGAATGAAAGATTGAATTGTTTTATGAAAGCAGTTTCACTGTTACTATTGCAATTGGTCATATGAAATAATGTATATTCTATAGAATTTGTTTTTCCCAGTTATATTATTCTGAAATTCCCAAATGTCACCACGGAGGTTGTTACAAGCTTAAATAAATGGCTAAAAAACTACAGAAAACACAAGAAGATAATCATCTCAAAAACATGTTATTCCATATTAATAGCACAAATGTGCTTGTTAGCAGTCTGTTAGTGAAAACAATGCAAATCCCAGTGTTGGTTAGCTGTTGATTATGTCAAGACAGGTCATCCTCGGGATGGACACAATCCTCTGGAGTGAGGAGATTATCCTCGGGAATAGGAGTACCTTAAAAAGTATGTCAGTACACATTGCCTTTCCGTGTGTTATGATTGGTTCCTGGTCTTCCCCTTTGCCGTTCCAACAATCGAGCTCGACGCACCTGAGATTTTTCAATATCAGTTTAAATTTAATTTATAAAATACAAATAATAAACAATATATTTCCCCTCATAGGTTTGGCAATCAGATACAACATACCCTTTTTATCACTAAGCAAAGCCTATTTATGTTTGGCGATTTAAAAAAATAAATCAATTTCAGAACTTATTGTAATTAGGGAACAAAATTAAGCTTCAAACAACTTCTAGTTGCCAAACTTATGGAGTGGAGTGTACATTTTCACATAAAATACATTTACACATTACAGAAAAGATGTGGGATGAAAATGAGTCAGGTTCTACAAATGGTTTGAAATGAGAGCATATTAAATTTTTTCCTGTTTTTGACATTTTACAATGTAATAATATATGATGCGTGATTTCATTAAAAAGGTGGTTTACATAGACCTTCAATACTCCAGAGTATTTAAAACTTAATTTAAGAGATATATAGCTTGAAATGAGCGCAAACCCCCGCATAATTTTAATATACGGTCATTGAATGAGAATGTGACAATGACTCATGGTGGATAATCAAGGGTGGGTGCCTAAAATAGAATACATACGTAAGCTGTACAACTTAAATAACCCATCTTAACTTATTAGTTGAATAAATAAGAAATAATATTGTTCCCGATGAGTTTCGTTAATGACAATATCAGCTTGAATGGTCTGAAATCACATCAGAATAAGACGTGTGGAATCATTCATTCAATTAAATTCCTCTGTGTATTATCATGGATGTATCTGATTATTTCCCCATAAATTCCCTACATCTGTGAATCGTGATACCTGCATTAAGCACCCTGAGGCACAACGCCTATAACTATGGTTCTTTTACTTAATTTGGTAGCCATTTTAATTTGGCGGATCTACCAAATTGTTGAAGTCCACGAAGTTAAGTCGCTGCCAAATTCAGTATTTCATATTTCAATCGTAAATATGCATTGTATATACATTTCAATATTGCATGTTCGCCAAATTAAGAAGCCGCCAAATGTGTTCAAAACAGTGAATCCGTCAAAATAAGTAGCACCAAATTAAGTAGAAGTACAGTATCCTCTAAATAGAACAGGACAAATAAATATAGTTTTGATGTTGATAAGATCAGAATGACCCCCCTCCCCCTCGCCCCAAAGTAGCTTTCATGACCTTTTATAGGAGTTTGAACAGACACTATGCACAGGTACTTATGCAGGGATAAAGTTAAGTGATTGTAATTCTGATTCTGGTACAACTAGATTTTGATTGGTCCATTCTTGATATTCTGATTGGTTAAGGCTAGATCAAGTGATTATCTCTAACTCATAGTGCAGATGAAGCTCTCTTTTTAAGGCATCAAATCAAACATTTGGAAAGGTTGTTCATTAATCAGGTTGTGTTGTGTGGGAGTAGAACATGAGACTCTATGACATAAACAATAGGAATTGAGGGTTAGCATGCCCTCTCTCTGGCTAATACAGTCAATTAATTGAGATAACCATCTATGATAGGAATACAAGAACAGAATTCTGATTTACTATTTATGTTAAATGTTTTTATTTTTTATTTTATTTTTATTTATTTATTTATTTCATATAATACATACAATAGTTAACAATGAAGTGGGTGACACAAAATTTGTGTATATTCCCACAGATGGAGTGAGTAAAATACAAGTATGTTACATTATGCAGTTTGGGGATCTGCCGTGGCATGCCCTCGACAAAAAATATAATATGTGCCATCAAACTGTCGAAATCAGTTCCAAAATAAATGTACTGTTTGGTACATGGGCACTGCCTAGCACTGCTCATCTTATATTAACAATTGAAGTTCCCACATAATAGAGAAATGAAAGATTTAGGAGATAAATGTCTTTAACATTTAAGGTAATATCAATATTCCTTGACATAGGAAGTCTTACATATAACAAGGCACATAGTGAACAATATTGTACCCGAAAATCAAAAAGGCGACTTTCGAATTTTTCTATTTTTGCATACCCAGAAAAATCCCATAAAATCAATGTACTGAAAAGGTTTGTCGGAAATTGCAGAAGCAAAAAAGTGGAACATTCCCTTCCATTAACCCTCTTAAGTTCACAACAATATTGTTCCTTTAAGCTATGTTGAAAGGTTCCCTATTTAAGAAATGGCTCAATTAGTTAAGATAGAAAACAGTACCAACCTGCATCCAGATAGTAGAACCTGTCTGTACATTTCTACTGATGATTTGCCTCCGAATTGTCGACCTAACAACAAAATATGATATATGTACGTGAAAATGTATTTTTATTACATTGAGTGCGAAATGTCACAAGTTGGCTGGGTTTTCTGGAAGTGCGTGGGAAAAGCTATTTATTGATGTAAAAGAAGTTATCTAATCAATTGAAAAAATATGGTGTTCCTGAAAAGTTGAAAATGATCCTTCATATGATAACAATTCAGCAGAAACGATAAACACATTAAGACTCACTTGGAGTCCATGTCTATTAAACATTGCCTACCACGCATCCAAAACGTTTCCAGGTCAAACCCTTTTTCCCCATAGGATATCATTTTAATTTTTAACTCTGTCATTCTAACTTTTCAAAACAAATATAAGACAAGAAATTAGTTATCCCAAATATATTGCCTACAAGACATGAATTTCTTAGAAGATATGTATTATTTATGAGACATATATTGCCCATGATATATGTCTCACTTAAGAAATATGAATTTCTTAGAAGATATGTATTACTTATGAGACATAAATTACCCATGAGATATGAATTACCCATGATATATGTCTTACCTATGAGATATGTCTCATCTATGAGATATGTCTAACCTATGAGATATGTGTTACCTACGAGATATGTCTAACCTATGAGATGTGTATTACCTATGAGATATGTCTTACCTATGAGATATGTCTAACCAATGAGATATGTCTAATCTAAGAGATATGTCTAACCTATGAGATATGTGTTACCTACGAGATATGTCTAACCTATGAGATGTGTATTACCTATGAGATATGTCTTACCTATGAGATATGTCTCATCTATGAGATATGTCTTACCTATGAGATATGTCTAACCTATGAGATATGTCTTACCTATTAGATATGTCTAATCTAAGAGATATGTGTTACCTATGAAATATGTGTTACCTATGAGATATGTCTAACCTATGAGATATGTATTACCTATGAGATGTGTATTACCTATGAGATATGTCTAACCTATGAGATATGTATTACCCATGAGATATGTCTTACCTTTGATATATGTCTTACCTATGAGATATGTCTTACCTATGAGATATGTCTTACCTATGAGATATGTATTACCTATGAGATATGTCTTACCTATGAGATATGTATTATGTGAGGAGTTGATGTAGTAATGTGCAAGAGGTTGGTCCATTTCTTGGTAGATCTCTAAACGATCCAAAAACACTGGGGCATTCTCATCAGACATCAGATACCGACAGAAGCCATCTACACTCATTTGTTCTGAAAGAAATGTTAATAAATGGTTTATAGGGGTTTCTTTTGGATGTTGTTGGTGGGCAAAAGTAGTTCATTCATGACAATGTGTTTAGGAAAAGTACATGAATAGGAAACACTAGTAATACCAAACTTTTTCTCAATGCTGTAGTACAGTACATTTGAAAAGCACAAGTGGCAACATTTGAAAGAGAGAAATATATGAACCCATATACTGTATGAATTTGAGATCTCAGCTTATAAGAAGGATGCTCTTATTCATTTCGAATACATAAATTCAGAATATAACTGAATACTTTTAATAAGTACTCATTTGTTCTTTACTACTCGTTTAACATGAATTACAAGGGTTCCATTGAGATTCATGTTTCTTCTTAATTAATCCAATTAACACAACAAATTGAGAATTTTTACATGAGTGAGCGAACTAATTATGTAATTTCATACTGTATCATTATATTATATGGAAAATTCTGTCATTTAACTTCTAATTAATATCTAGGTTCCATTCAATAGTGAGGTTATTAATAAGGAACATATTTTAAGAGAACTTGTACACAAACGTGAGTAACGGTGGAATGGCTTATTTCTCCCCTAAATAGTAGTTATTACGTGTTCGATTGGGAATAAAGGTATAAGAAAAATACTTGTAATTAGGTCCTTAAAAACAATCGAGATGGGGAGAGTATTCCCAAGGGTTCATAATATTACATAGTCACGGAAGTTCTCTTAAAAAGTGTAGCTTAACTTCCCTAATATCAAAAAAATAATTCTTGTTACTTTGTATCTAATTTAGCAATTGTGAATCAATATTGGAACTGTTCTAAGATACAATAAGTAGGACATATAATCTTTTATATTTAGACGATAATGTGGAGTTTTTTTCTTCTACAAGCACGATATTGAAAATCTAAAAATATCATTTTTTCATGGTTTTCAAGTTAGTTAAACAAGATTCAAAACTTACAGCTGCTTTGACTCTCACTGATAACAGCTTTTCACTTTTGGCAATTGAGTTGAAACAACCAGTTGCCATTGGGCAATGGACTGGATACCAATATGTTTAATTGTGGCAATAACGTTTCTTACCTTTTTTAACTTTTTTTAAGATTCTTACCTTTTTCTTTAAACCCCTGAATTTCCTCATAATCATTGATAATTTCTAATACTCGTTTCCGATCGAAGAATGGAAATAAAATTTCATTAAGTCTTGGATCTCTCTGTCTCTGAAAAAAACGAGAGTATGCATGGATTAAAACTGTATATTTAGGTGTTCTATTAATTACAAGTTATTTCAAGGTCTGTTTATCTTATTGTAATTTTAAGATATTCCAACTTCTATTTAATGTAGAGCTATTAATATAATAATTATATGTTTAAGGTTTAAAAAACATGCGTAAAAACATGGTTATTTGTAGTATTCATTGTTGCTTCGTGTTCAGTATTTACCTCATTACAAAATAAAGAACAAGCTCTATTTACCTCATTAAAAAATTCTATTAATTTTGCCATTGTGAGATGATCATTATTTTCTGATCTGAAAAGAAAAGAAAAATATGCACATTTCAGATTTAATATTCATTTGAACATATTACATAAAATGTTGGTCAATGAATTAATTCAACACACATTTTATGTACATTTACTAATTTTAGAGGAATATTTTTTAAAAATAGGTTTATTTCATTACAATATTTCTCATGACATAATACGTAATCATGCGGCATTTTGGCATTTTTTGTCCGCTTTCAAGTATTAATTGTGAAAGAAATTAATTACAATATGTATAGATATTTAGGAGGAGTGATAGGGCTTTATGACTTATTTGAGACATTAATACTTACAATTCTTTAAACACTTCCTCAATATCATTTCGAGGACAGATTCTGTGATAAAGTTCGTAAAATTTTTCAAATGTGAATGTTGCAGGATCAATTTCATCATTCTGAAAATACAAATCATTATTTAAGTTAGAAAAGCATCATGTTTTTTGTCTTTTTAGGAGGGTTAAATAATGTTTTTTTTCAGGCAGGTGCAAATCTATAAGTTTCAGTTGGGTGCTGCACCAGGTATTCAGCTAGTTTAATCTTTCTACTTTGAATGTTCAATTAATAGAATTAATGTTCTAGAACTTACAAAACGTTCTGTAATAATTCATTAACAGTTCAGGAGACCGTTCTTGAACTCTACTGATATCCTGAACCACATTTCCAAAGGGGTTAGTCCCCATATGGTCAATCTGTTACCTTGCCACTGGGCAATCCTATTTCTTTAACCTGGGACATCACCATCTTCTCCGTCTTCCCTGATGCAAATGTACGAGTTATACTGAAAAACAGGAAATTCATGCCGCCAATGTGAGAATGAAAGGAGAGCAACATGGAACATAATCTACAAGAGAAAGCGTGGGACTGAATGTAGACAAGAGTAGTCAAGGCACAAAATGTGCAATCTTGTTTTGTACTTTGACTAATTACATTTTTTATCCTCTTACATGTGATATGGTCAGTCTCTTAAAAAACTCTAATATGTACTGGGGCAGAGAATATATTCAATAAAAATATATGTATACCTTCGAACAGGAATTTTTCCATTTGGGTTGACCATATAGCAGAGTTTCATCCAGCTGAAATGTAAAAAAGACACACTTCGTAGATATCATAAGAAAGGGGAAACTTAATCCTTACATATACTTTTTTAAATTTTTGCTACTATAACTCAGTGAAGACTGAAATATGTCTTACATTTTAATAGATACAGGTACATAATTCTTATTTTACAAAAAAATGACTTCACTTTTTGCACTGCGCTCATCAATTTGAGCGAATTAAACAATTATAACTCAAAGTTTAGCTCAGAACGAGATGTTCTTACAGCATTTAGTGGTCTTTAGGGACAATACATCAAGTCAAAAATCAATAGTTGCACTCTGAATGAAACAAGCAATACATTGGAAGATTCTAGGCCTGAACACAGTTTCATTTCATTTTTTACTTCAAATTATTTCAATTGCACAATGACAATTTACATTTGATGCATATTGGTCAAGCTTAGTGGGGAACTGTCTATGTAAACAAATTTTGGTTTTGCTTTAGAGATTTGACTTTAACTCCCCTCCATAAATTTAGCAATCCTCTTCTTTGGATAGCATTTCAAAGTTGTCAATGTTTGAACCTTGATTTTGTTTCTTAATTACAACGGTTCAGAAAGTATATGACAAATATTATGATTTTTCTAAATTGCAAAACCTACGTACTTTAATAAGTAATAAAAAGAGGACTTTTGGTTGTCAAAGAATATGAAGATATGTGTAACTTATGGAAGGTAGTGTTAGTGTTTTACTCGGAATAAAACAGGTTATCCAGGATGAAAAGGAAGACTTTTTTATCATGATGTCCTGTCTTTTAGATCATTAAACAGCAACTGTCATGCAAGATGTCATCAACCATCAAACACTGAACGCCAACCACAAAAAAATTATATTTGGAAATCAGAGCCATAGTTTCCTAAAAAGGGGCATACTTTTCACATGAGCAAAAAAAGCGATTTTGCCCCTACCCTTAATAGCTTTCAGATCCCTCTCACCATATCTACACTATCACAGTCTATAACCTATTAGTGACTTAGAATATCCATGTCATCATCGATGAAGCACAATTCCCAGAGAGAAAAAGTAATCTAGATAAAGTCTCAGATTTCTAATGATCATGTTATTAACTAGACAACAGCAATGCCAAAGCATAGCAAATCCCATCGAACAGCAATGGCTGGCATTTTTACAGACTAAATGTTTAGCAAATATCGTTAAATAACAAACATAAGAAAGGCCACCATTATCAAAATGGTGGATCAGTAGCCAAATTGACATCAGAAAAAAGAATATGCTTTTAAGTAGGCACATACAGAATCTTAAAAAATGTGTACACGCGTACATGTAAATGTCCGCCTTCTGCCAAATATGTCAGAAGACAGTGTGCCATATTTACATGTTAAAACAAATTGCTATTACAGTTTTATAAACAGTACCTAAATTACTGTAAAATCGGCACTGAAATGGCTGCCATTTTTTAACGAGCTGCCATTTTGAAAATTGGCTTTTAAGCAAAACTTGTACTCCCATAGGGCACATGTGTACAAAATATAAACAAAATCGGGCAAACAGTATTAAAGTTATCACCCGGACAGTACAGAAAGATGGACTTACGTAATTGTCACGACAGACGTCTTGTAAAATATAGATACACAGACGGGGACTTTGTTCGATGGGATAATTATTAATTAATATTGGAGGGTTTTTCAACTTACCATCTAATGAAAATGAATTTACATGATGTGATCAAATATATCTGACTTTCCTTGTAATTAATGGAATGTATCCCTAAATATAGTACGGTCATCTGTCAATCACCGCCTAATTTGATTACATAACTGTTGAGAATCAGATTTTATGCAAACAAACTTGATCAACTTTTATTTATCACAGAATCGTGTTTTCCAATACATACTAAAGAGAAAATAATGTCAGTGTTGATTGATTGCTATAGGTTAGTATGTACGTCGATTTGAGGCACCTTTGCACCAATGTCTCAAGTTTCTTTAATATATACATTGCGCTATTTATAGAAAATCAATCTGCTTATTGTAATCATTAATTTGCACTGAAAATAATGTGATTTCATAATGTTTGTGTAATAGGATGCTATGATAAACTGAGTTGAATGATCTGTTGACCATCATTTATTTACAGTCAGAATATTTAAGCCAGACCTACCTTTATTAGCCAGATTTCTCATTCTACTCTGCCTACATTAATCATCCAATATACTCATTCTATACAGCCTAACCAACTACTCTGCCTACATTAATCATTAACTATACTCATTCTATACAGCCTAACTAACTACTCTGCCTACATTAAATATCCAATACACTCATTCTACACAGCCTAACTTAATTAGCAAGATTATTCATTCTACTCTGCCTATATTAATCATTAACTATACTCATTCTGTACAGCCTAACTAACTACTCTGCCTACATTAAATATCCAATACACTCATTCTACACAGTCTAACTTAATTAGCCAGATTTCTCATTCTACTCTGCCTACATTAATCATTAACTATACTCATTCTTTACAGCCTAACTAACTACTCTGCCTACATTAAATATCCAATACACTCATTCTACACAGCCTAACTTAATTAGCCAGATTTCTCATTCTACTCTGCCTACATTAATCATCCAATATACTCATTCTATACAGCCTAACCAACTACTCTGCCTACATTAATCATTAACTATACTCATTCTATACAGCCTAACTAACTACTCTGCCTACATTAAATATCCAATACACTCATTCTACACAGTCTAACTTAATTAGCCAGATTTCTCATTCTACTCTGCCTACATTAATCATTAACTATACTCATTCTTTACAGCCTAACTAACTACTCTGTCTACATTAAATATCCAATACACTCATTCTACACAGTCTAACTTAATTAGCCAGATTTCTCATTCTACTCTGCCTACATTAATCATTAACTATACTCATTCTTTACAGCCTAACTAACTACTCTGCCTACATTAAATATCCAATACACTCATTTTACACAGCCTAACTTAATTAGCAAGATTACTCATTCTACTCTGCCTTCATTAATCATTAACTATACTCATTCTATACAGCCTAACTAACTACTCTGCCTACATTAAATATCCAATACACTCATTCTACACAGTCTAACTTAATTAGCAAGATTACTCATTCTACTCTGCCTTCATTAATCATTAACTATACTCATTCTATACAGCCTAACTAACTACTCTGCCTACATTAAATATCCAATACACTCATTCTACACAGTCTAACTTAATTAGCCAGATTTCTCATTCTACTCTGCCTACATTAATCATTAACTATACTCATTCTATACAGCCTAACTAACTACTCTGCCTACATTAAATATCCAATACACTCATTCTACACAGCCTAACTTAATTAGCAAGATTACTCATTCTACTCTGCCTATTCATCATCCAATATACTCATTCTATAAAGCCTAACTTAATTAGCGGATTACTCTTATACTTAATTAGCCAGATTAATTACAGATAAGCATTTGAATTGAATGGATGCTTACACTGCACTTTGATCATACATTCCTTACATAGTTTATTATTACAGTAAAACTTGTCTTCCCCACAATTCACTGCAGGGACAAGCCAAAAGTGTCCAGACTGGCAGGTGTTCACATTTATCAAGGATGATTGGCTCCCAGGATCGAAAATCAATAATTTCCAACAATGAAAATGTCACAATGTCATTATTTTCTGATTTTATAACTGACTATAAATTCAAAATAAACAGTCCAAAAGATTCGAACCAATATCTCAACCATTTCTTGTGAGTTTTGGAATTTTTCGTTTGGAAATAAGACCAAAATCAACGATTAAAATGTTGAAGTGAACAAAATGGCAGCTGTTTGAATTCAAACTTTGTAAGCATGACATGCCCTATATGGTAACATATCGATGTTGCATTCTGGGAGCCAATCCTCTTTGGAGGTTTTTTAACAATGCTAGTCTACTGCACATTAATGAGACCAGAAAAATATATTCACAATAAGAGGTGTTCAGATAAGAATGGTGTTCAGATACACCCCCAATCCGCACTCTGAAATCACGGTACTGTACGGTACACGGTGCACGGTACCATACGGTACACGGTGAACGGTACCGTATGATACCTTAAGAGTATGGTACCGTACAGTACTGTAGAAGTACGGTACCGTACGGTACCATTGGAGATTGGCTGTGTATATAGGTTGGAATGTATTTATCATTTAGTGAAATCTTTTAGTTGAATCCGTTCCTTCTGAAGAATGACTTGATAAATGTTTTCAAGTCATAAAGAGTGAGTGCTACTTCATATTATTACATCTTTAGTGAAAAAATGTCAAGGGTGTACCCTATTTACATCCATAATAGATTTATATAGCCTCTTTATATATACATATGGAGAGAGAGCTAAGTACTCAAAAGAATGGGCTGAAATGCACTAAGCGAATTTAAGAGGGGAGAATATCCCAGAATTCATAGATGAATCTATCTTCATGTAAAGATGAACATCAAGAGGCTCACTTTCCATGAAGAGGCTCATCTATGCATTCTGGGGTATGTTCTCAAGCCCGTAGCCAGGATTTGCCAAGGGGGTTCACTTTTTGAAAAATGCCAGGGGGGTTCACATTTGACAATTTTGGCCCAAATATGGTGAAAATCACTTGAGAAGTGCTCAAAATGGTGAAAAACTGCAGGATTTTGAAAGATTTTTTGGCCGGGGGGGGGGGGGTGGGGTTTGCTCGAACCTATCGAACCCCCCTGGCTACGAGCCTGGTCCTCCTCTTAGAAGAGTTTACAGTCAGTGGAGTCTCCATAAACAGTTGTACATGTATGCCTGCTTGTAAATACATTGAAGTGTGGAACTGATTCACATGTAACTGTTTTTGATACAGTTGTCTCTGAAATGAGCAATATAACCTCAATAAAGGGCTATAAAGGTATAATGAAACACTGTGTTGCATTTTACTCTATTAACAGCATAAATATCAATCGAAGACTTCCTTTGTGAAATAGACAATGAAGATACTAATTAAGATAGTGACTTGACGGAGACAGTTACGGCTACTTAATTTATTAATACAGTAAAAGGTGTTTGCTCTGAATGCTTCTTATGGCAAAATTGTTTGGCTCAGCACATGGGAGCCAATGGGTCAATTTAAAAATATATTATTTTTCAATACCGTTAAACCTACCTAAGGTCCAAATGCTTAATTTATTAATACAGTAAAAAAGGTGTTTCCTCTGAATGCTACTTTGGATCAGCAGTTATCGTTTATTTCAATGCATATTTTTAACATGGGAGCCAATGGGACAATTTAAAAATGTCTTTTCATTCGATTTTGTTAAATATTCTAATTCAAATGCCACTGGGACTTAGGCTAAAAGTGTTCAAGTGTTCACATTCAATGTTTACATTTCAACAATGCTTATCAATGGTAGATTAAAAAATTGGATGGAAAGTGTTCACATATTGAGAATTGTTCGGATTAGAGAGTCTTTGTTACTGTGTTCAGAATGGATACATAGATTTTACTAGCTAATAGCCCCTTTAATACAAGCCTTAGCCCTGAAAACCAAATAACCCTGACCTAGTCCTTTGGGATGTTCGTCTATGTCACTAATATTTATTAATTTCAACAGCCGGTTTGTATGCTCATATTGGATGATGAGACCCTGATATCCCCAGTGAATCCTAAAATAGATCTTAAACCAGTTTCATGTTGCTTTAAACTTCTGCAGAATGTTCATAATTACTTCACTAGTAGTTACTTGACCTTTAGTCATCACACCTTGGCCTTCATTCATCATATAAATATTGCTCTTTGCTTATCATATCCTTAATCCTTTATTCTTCACATCTTAGCCAAACACAATATTACTGGTCACTAGTCATCACACCTTGGCCTTCACTCACTACAAATTGGCCTTTAGACATCACACCTTGGCCTTCACTCACTACAAATTAGCCTTTAGTCATCACACCTTGGCCTTCACTCACTACAAATTGGCCTTTAGACATCCCACCTTGGCCTTCACTCACTACAAATTAGCCTTTAGTCATCACACCTTGGCCTTCACTCACTACAAATTGGCCTTTAGTCATCACACCTTGGCCTTCACTCACTACAAATTAGCCTTTAGTCATCACACCTTGGCCTTCACTCACTACAAATTGGCCTTTAGTCATCACACCTTGGCCTTCACTCACTACAAATTGACCTTTAGTCATCACACCTTAGCCTTCACTCACTACAAATTGGCTTTAGTCATCATACCTTGGCCTTCACTCACTGCAAATTGGCCTTTAGTCATCACACCTTGGCCTTCACTCACTACAAATTAGCCTTTAGTCATCACACCTTGGCCTTCACTCACTACAAATTGGCCTTTAGTCATCACACCTTGGCCTTCACTCACTACAAATTAGCCTTTTGTCATCACACCTTGGCCTTCACTCACTACAAATTGGCCTTTAGTCATCACACCTTGGCCTTCACTCACTACAAATTGACCTTTAGTAATCACACCTTACTCTTCACTCACTACAAATTAGCCTTTAGTCATCACACCTTGGCCTTCACTCACTACAAATTGGCCTTTAGTCATCACACCTTGGCCTTCACTCACTACAAATTGGCCTTTAATCATCACACCTTGGCCTTCACTCACTACAAATTGGCCTTTAATCATCACACCTTGGCCTTCACTCACTACAAATTAGCCTTTAGTCATCACACCTTGGCCTTCACTCACTACAAATTGGCCTTTAGTCATCACACCTTGGCCTTCACTCACTACAAATTGGCCTTTAATCATCACACCTTGGCCTTCACTCACTACAAATTGGCCTTTAATCATCACACCTTCGCCTTCACTCACTACAAATTGGCCTTTAGACATCACACCTTGGCCTTCACTCACTACAAATTGGCCTTTACGCATCAAATCTTTTAATATGTTTGTCTTTTATTTCTTGAAAAGTAGGGAGAAGATGGTTATCATGGTGACCTTTAGAACAAAGAATACAATATAAACCTTCTATGGCCAGAATCTATAGCATTCAAGATTGAATCAAGATATAAATGTTAGAGCAGAATGTCTTCAAAGAGTTAATTAAGATTCTGCTCAGATAAGAACAAATCTTTTACCTGCTATCTTATTTACTCCCACTCTCCCATAATTAACGTCATGTTTTTGGCAATATTTTTTATGTGCCCTTCTTTATAACCTTATTTGCAAGATTATAGCCTGATTATTTCCTTCATAAGCACATCTGGTTTTAACATTGTACACTCCCAATCCACACACAGAAATCATGAAAGGCTCTGTATTATCTCACAACTAGACACAAAAACACATAGACACACATTCTATGACTTACTGTTTCTTGAGACACTGCATTGGACACACATTGTTGGCTTTGTGGTTATGTGTTATCAACCTCAAGGCATCAATCCAAACCTAAAAATAGAATCAAATAAGTGTCTCAATGTATATAAGTGTCTAAATGTATAAAAGGAGCTCATATATGTATACGAGGGGAGATCAGAAAGTTCTCATAGTATCTTCTTCTTGAATATATCAAAAATGAAGAAATAAAAAAGATATTATGAGAACTTTATAAACTTCATGAGAATAATCAGAAAATAATCAGGTCAATATAATTTACAGTATGAGAATAATCAGAAAATATATAGAGCATGAGTATAATCAGTTAATACCATATAGAGTATGAGAATAATCAGTTAATATCATATATAGTATGAGAATAATCAGTAAATATCATATAGAGTATGAGAATAATCAGTTAATATCATTTAGAGTAAGAGAATAATCAGTTAATATCATATGGAGTATGAGAATAATCAGTTAATATCATATAGAGTATGAGAATAATCAGTTAATATCATATATAGTATGAGAATAATCAGTAAATATCATATAGAGTATGAGAATAATCAGTTAATATCATTTAGAATATGAGAATAATCAGTTAATATCATATAGACTATGAGAATAATCAGTTAATATCATATAGACTATGAGAATACTCAGTTAATATCATTTAGAGTATGAGAATAATCACTTAGTATCAAATAGAGTATGAAAATAATAAGTTTATATCATATAGAGTATGAGAATAATCAGTTAATATCATTTAGTGTATGAAAATAATCACTTAATATCATATAGAGTATGAAAATAATCAGTTAATATCATATAGAGTAATAGAATAATCAGTTAATATCATTAAGAGTATGAGAATAATCATATTACTATTCATCAGTCAGGGTACAAAGATAATCAGAAAATGCCATAGTATTATTTAATTAGCAGATCCTTAAGATATATAGCCATGAATACAGCCAAATATATCCATTATGCCTATAATATACTTCATTCTATAAACAATTCCCTTGATTTTCAAATGGAGCGTGTAAGGTTTCATTGTCAGATGGTTTTTGTTAATGCATATTAATGGCCAATGTTTGGCCTGTAAACACCAAAGAATGTTACGCACTTTGATCTTTTATCTACAGGCCAAGGCTAAGATTGTTCAATATGCCTAGCATGAAGGGAACCAATATTCCAGATTAGTGGTTAGCTTCTCCAAAATCAATCAACAAGCTTCCTCCCTTACAGAATAACATCTCTGTAGCCAGACCAGCATCAATAATATGTTTCCAGTCTTCCACCTCATCTATACTATTTAATAAAAAAAACTGTTCAGCTAAGCTCTTAGAAGTTGAGTTAATTCTTTGATCCAGCAGCCTATAACCTATCAGATTGTACAGTCAGAAAACCAATTTCTGCCTATAAGTAGCCAGGATTCATATCACATTCAAAAATGCATTGAAATTCCATTTGAGATTCTTAAGATGCCATTTTAACTCTGGAATCACTTGTTGTAAACAGAGTGTAGCATGACTAGCTGGGGATAAAGGGTACTTATAATTGCTCTTTAATCAAATTCATCCTCTCTTCTCTATAAATTAGTAGGTAGGGTCTGTTAACATGTCTGTTAAACCACATCTTAAAAAACATACTTTAGTATGTTCCTCTGGGATAAATATACTTCTTGTATGTTAACCTCATATTACATAACTAATTCTGACTTAAAATTGTCTGTTTACCTCGACTTTTGTTATTATTGTTTTTTTGCTCAACTAAGTTCAGGTTATCCAGTGTATGCTAATGCCCTGACCTTGGATTCTATCAAAGAACTGATCTATAGGTTAACATAGGCTCCATAGGTTAAAAGATAGTTTAGCGTGACTTTTTTAAAAATGGTACCATCCAATGTATTCATATACTGAAAATGAGCCAATATCTCCCAAATGAGCCAAAATGTAGCCAGGATCAACGTGTCATTTCCACAATTTAGATCAAAATTGCTAAAAGTATGCCTATTTTTCATGATTTTTCTCATTTTCTAGTGGGTGCAAATGGATTTTTCGGTGGGTGCAAGCCTATTTTCAAAATCTCAGGTAGGTCCTGCACCCACTTGCTTTTATGCTGGGGAGATCACTGAATGTTGTAATTTACTGACATGGAACATCAAATCAGATCAGTATCAGATTCTAGCATCCTCAACATAAATGATAAATAATTATGAAATAAATTGAATTGAACTCTATAAAATAGACATGAGCATTAGCTCAGATAAATCGCAGCTTTAATGTGTCCAGGAATCGTTTTTGGACAGAATAATCAATGGACAAATGAATGGCCGTATGAACAGACAGTTTTTAGGTTTCCATCACGTCAAAATGGAAAATTGCAAAAAAAAACATAGAAAAGGGTGGAGATGTCATATCGCTATGCAAGACAGAATCCATTTATACAATTACTAAGATATCTCAGGCATGTTAGGGTTAACTCAAATGAAATTTTCCATCAATAAAAAGTCCATAAAAATAGCATGATACCATAAATACACCGAATTCCTTCATCCCAAATATAAATAATACATAGTCTTCACTGTAGAAGATGATGAATTGAAGTTCGACTTCTAAGTTAATCCCGTATCCGGATCCAGATCACTATATCAGGAATACTGCCAGCCTAAGGTCTTTTCATAGAATAAGATGACGTGAACATAAAAGTTTTATATTAACAAGGCTTGTCAAATGTGCAAATTACAGAATACGTCTTCCTCATTTCTGCACCTGCTATCTCTTAGAACTACATTTATGCAATATTCGCCAAGTATAACTTATGACGAGAAAAAAGTCTAAAAATTTCCTTCAATTGGCAGTTATAGATTCATATATTCAAATGAAAACACTAAAGAATTATCTCTTAAATAATAAATGTAAAAAATGAGATATCTTTTTGATATACATTTTACAATTGATTTATGTACTTTATCCCCAGAGTATTCAATTTTTGTACTTACTTATCTGATCCCAACAATTTCATAATTGCATAAACACCTTTATCATTGGAATAGGATAATGCAACTGGTGATTATAATGTTATATGATCTTCTATACCGAATTGCAATAAATGAAATTGTAACTGAGTTGAAAACTGAAATATTTGAAATGAGAAATAACAAGTGGGCTAAAATATCAGAAAACCAAACAAAATACGAACTGATAATAACTTTATATGAGAAACAGGTCAATATGTTGATGCTGTCCCTAAACGTAATTTATAATAGAGGCTCCATCTATTGGCAGGAATGATCAAGGCAACCATTGGGATTTTTGCACTTGGAGATGTACACCTGTTTATCAAAACTTCTCTCCGAACACCTATCAATGTGAACACTTTTTCTCTGACCTGTTATTTTCACTCATATTGAAGAGAGAATCAGATCTGGCGAGCAGCCGAACAAAAAATTGTTTCAATTTTAGAATATTCCTGGCTTATGGCATTCCTTTTCATGTCTATTTTTAAAAATCATACAAGTGCATACTTTATTTCAGGAAAACTAGAGATTTTTACAACAATGTATTATTTTTCTATAAGAATGGTACGTTTAACCATTCTTATTATTTAGGAGAATTTAAACATTTTTCACCCATTCTGCACTTTGATTCCATTATAACTTCACCAAATTATTACATATCATGAATCTTTTGGGAGATATTGTATTTGAGATAGTAAGGAATAGATTGGTAGGTCAGTTGTACATGTTGCTTGTAATTTTGTCACCCCCATAGATCTGATTCTGCCTTTAAGAAATGCCCTTCAAATGTGAAGGAATGCTAATCTGAAAACATTTGGCTGGAAATAATTAGACAGATTTTCCTGTATACAATGAATGCATATTATAGTTTATTCACCAAAATTATGTCCTCTCCTGTAGATTTAATAATTAATGACGTGATGGAAAGATGAATATTTGGTAGAGGGTAAAATGAAGAGGATCACTTGATGTATTATTGCTGCAATTTTTGAGATAATATATCTAAGCATAAGTTTCAAGACATGGGTTTTTATGTATTCTAAACAACCCTGCATATACATCTAGTCCTAGCACGTACATATTAAAAAAAAATAGACCCCCCTCCCCTCTACTATCCTTCTTCTTCATCAATAGAAAGAATGAAGTGAGCAGGAGCCAATCTGGGAACCAACCAACAATGGGAGAGGCCCAAATTTCAAGTCAGAGAAAAAAACTCCTGCGATTGCGTGAAAAAAGATTTGGGCCCCTAAAACCCAAAAGTGGGCCCAAATTTGAGGCCCATTTTCTTCAAAACTTGGCCTGGAATTAAAAAATAAGGCCTTACAAGGCCCAGTAATGATGAAAAAGGCCTACTTTTTGGGGCCTTAAGGCTTTTTTGGCCCGGTTTTTTTCTGGGCCCACCTAAGGGGGGGCCCCCAAGATCCGCCAGTGCATGAGATATGTACATGAAATGGGGTTCACAGAAGCAAGATTTGAAGATCTAGAATTCAGTCTGGCCATGATCTAATATTAAATCAACTATCCAAGCATATCTAAGTAGAACTGTTTTATATTCTACTACAGTCTGCTTTATAAATATAATCTTGGACTTGACACTTTCAATTAAAACAGACCTCTCCCCTAATCTAGGACTTACTGCTTACATTTAATCGCATCTGAATAGTCTATCTGCTTAGACCGAGACATGAACAAGACATGAAAGGCTAAAATAAATAACTAATATGTTTAGTGTATCCTTACTAAACTTTCTACGAGAATCTTAAACAGCTCAATAGATAATGCCTATGCAGTACGGATAATACATTATTAGATATTTGCATTCGCAATATTTTGGCACATATCATATTAGACATAAGCAACTCTTTGAGGCTTTGAAAATTGCTTTAATTTCTTTCCTACTAAAACTGAAATCAATGATAAACAAAGTATCTAATTACTCTGGCCTGAGAGTAGAAAGATGACATATAAGAGGATTGAGATGTTCTCCCTTGACAGAGCAGCAGAATACTTATAACAATTGATATGTCATTGTGATGCCCTAGAAAAGATGACATATAAGAGGATTGAGAAGGTTCTCCCTTGAGATGGCAGAATACTTCCTACAATGTAATTGTGATGCTCAAGAAAAGTCCAATACCCTGAAGCCCTGGAGCAAGTAGGAATTATTGTCCTCTTACTAAGATAGATAATTTACAGTTCTGATGAGTTACAATCTTAATGATCCAAAATGAATCATTAATGGTATTTAATAGGAGTTTACATAAGAAATATATGCCAGCTACTTTGAAAGGAATGAAATAATTCTGCGACTGCAGGTCTGATCGACAAGCTCAATTTTAATTAGGGTAATCTGCTTTGGTAAGGCTCGATGAAAGAATTATCTCTTATTGAAAGAGTCTAAGAAATCCAACTTTTTGAAAGGATAATGCTCTTTATAGCAAAAACGTGGATTAGTGATTTTCTGAATTTGAGAACATATTTTGATCAAAGCGGTATCTCTAATCTAAAGAGGGAAAACAAAGTCCAACAATGGGGAAGGGTGTATAATATGGCTGTATTCCACCCAACAAGAAACAGATGCCTCAGCAAAACTGAGCTGAAGTTGAAGATAAATATTGACATAATTTTGTGTAACATTGAAACAACAATGATCACAAATGGATGAATATTAACACATAGTCCATCTATAACATGTCTACTCTTTAATAATTACTGTTAAAGTAATTTTTAGGGAATTACTGATGCCCTGAATCTTAAGATTAGGGCTAGGGGCATCATGGGAAATCATGACCTTCTAATAGCTCCTCTCTAGTCGAAGGCACAAAGATGTGATGAGGATCAACATGGGATAGAGTCTTCATCCAACACAATTAAACCAAGATTTCTTGTAATAACATCCCTTTATGTTGTACTGACCATGGATGTTATTTCCAAAGTACCTTCAAGACAGCACAAATGAGCATTGAAAACACATGGAATAATACTAGAAAGAGGCCTTTATTTAGATCTGTTAACTCACCTTGGCTATTTCAGGTTCTGGAGCGACAAAATGAGAGTAAAATATATTCACAAGGTCCAGCCCACTACAAACTGTTACTGTACGATCACCAAGGTTACCAAGGAAACAAGGGTCAAGGTCAGCGGCGATCTTTGGATCCTGGAAATAGAGTTTTAAATTATATGCCTGGGAATGCATCGATGCAAATGTAAATACATTTTTTACTTAAAGTCAATCTAAGAAGTGTACATATGGTTTGTTACATGTGCATGTCAGGGAGTGTATATTAGTCAGAAAGTAAATATAAAAGAATATATATATATAATTGCATATGATGTCATTTGTCACCTACACTTGTGGGGCATAAATTGAGATAATACGTAATTTGTATAATTTATGTTACTTATTACAAGTATGTTTGTGATAATATATGTAGTATTTATACTAATTACTACCAATTATAAGTATATAAATATAGTTTCACATTATATAATTTATACGTCAACCTATGCAGACTAAGCCTGCAAAATACTTTTAAAATGTTATCTGCCTAATACAAAAAAGATATTTCACTTTTTGTTATTTTACAACATGTGGTCTATGGGGAATCTCCCCGAACTTGAAATCATATTTTCAAAGAAAATTAAATTCAAAGTTGAACAACTCTTCAAAACCACATTTCTAGATGTCATTTTACATGTAGATTCTAAATATGACATCAATTATGAATTTTTAATGGCGTAAAAGATTATTTCTACTCGCATCTTGTCTATTGCATTCATGTATTTGTATTTGACACAAAATAGGCAAATAAACCTATGAGATTTTCACCAGTTTCACCGCCATGTGGATAATTGGGAACAGAGAACATGGTAGACATACAAAAAATTCACCTTAACTTAACTATTTTTTTATTTATTTATTGTAATCGCTTTTGAAACAGTGGCACACACATACAAACATGCTTATACAATTGCAGTCAAAATTAAAATATAATGATAATATTAAAAAAAAAATTTCATCTAACAAATATGGTATCATCTTTCAAATATGATATCACTTTTACTAAATTTAGAATATTTCATGATGAAAATCAAAATCAAGATTGCTTCTATTCATCTTATCATTCAAAAGCATGCAGTTTTTCGTATTTTAAGCACTTTTCAATCGATTTTGGGCCAAAATTATCAAATGTGAATCCCCTGGAATTTTTGAAAACCGAACACCCTTAGTTCACTTTACTGGCTATGGGCCTGCATTCTATGATATGACACACTGAGTTTTAATGCAGACTCAGTCTGTTAGATGAAGCATAAAATATTAATAACATTGGAATAACTTCCTCATGTTTCAATGTCATAAAGGACCAGCTAGCCAGAAAATAAAACATCTCAAAGTTTTATACATTGTTAATCAATTTATCATAAGATATATATCTAAAGAGCAACAAAGCCTTTAACATTTGTTTTTTATATCACAAACCCACAATCATCCAGCATATTTCTCAAAAATGTTTTTGCACACGTGAAGCTAAAGATCTTAGAGGTAAATATAAGGTATGTATTTATATGCAACTTTAAGAGACAATACAGTATGTTTTTGTAATTGATCTATATATTGACAGAGATATCTCTAAAGATTACCAGAACAACTAGCTCTTGGTACTGGCCAGCTCCATTAATTATAAGTTCTGCTTCATTCAGGATTATTCCTCAGTAGTAAGACAAGATTGATTAAAAGGGAAAATATCAATCTCCTGCTGAAGTGCATCCAATCAATCATCACTGTTGATGTAAAATATTGAAAGCAATGTGCCTGGACAAAAATTGGATCAAAGAGAACAATATTCCTTTAAGAATAATCATCAAGTTGGGGAACAGGAGAAAATATCCCTCTATACCTCCCTACCCACACCCCCTCCCCTACCCCCTTCCCCACTCCCTCCTTCTCATTATGAGCATTCCCATGATGTAATGCCTATCTAAGCTGATCATCTCCCAATTTAAACATTTTTTCTCCAATTTGGTCACATATAAAAACCCTGAAAACCCTGCTAATCTTAAAACCTTTCAACCATTCAAATTAGACAGGTTTTACTATAATCAGATAATTTTAGACTCCGGATATTCTTCGGTGATTCTCCAGAGTCTAATGTCTTTAGACCCTCTTGCTCCAGAGTCTAATAGCTTTGCCAGAGTCTAAAGTGTTTTTTCCGGAGTCCAATTTTACATTTTTGTCACATTTTTCGTGGTAAAACTCTTTGAAAAATACACAAAATTGGATACAAACAAGAAATAGGGAGTCAGAAACCTTTTAGAAATGTATACTGTAATTAAAATAGGAAGATAATATATGAAAAGTATACTAAGAGGATATCTCTGATCTCACATGGGGAAGAGACAGTCATGATATCGCAAAAAATCCAGGATCTTAAAATTTCCCGGTGAGAACCTTGATAATGTATATTAACATGGAATATTATATCAGGTATAGTCAGGCTATTGCATGATGTCCTATTAATAAACATATTTACATTATCTATGAAAGATAATTTGCTTCCTGGAAAAACACTAACCTAAAATAATACTGCAGACAAGGGATCGACAATAAAATCTCATTGTACCAACTATATCCCAAGGGACCATCCCAAGGTACCATCAGATCTCTGGGTAAGAGTACCATTTAATCCTATGGTACCATTTACTTACCATAATACCAGGAGACCATATTATCTCAGGTGACCATTATGGTTCTTATCGGACCATTAAATCCCAGAGAATATTTTCTCTTGTATCAAGGCTTAATAAAAAGGAATAACTGAAGACAAGAATACAATCACATAGATATAAAGTACCCATATTATTCAAAATGGTGAGACAGGCACTTCATTTAGGGTAAGGCCAATACAAATTTCTTTTTGTTTAGCGGTGCTTGCTTGATAAAGCCAAACCCCCAATGGTCAAAATCCCTTTCTTGGCTTATTTAGAATTTTACCATTTTCTCATATTGACAAATATTCTTACATTTTTATAGAGTAAAAAAGAAGGAAAATCTGGTTACCTGGTTGCTTTTCGGGAGAGAATCTGCTTAACATTCCTGCAAGGGTCTAAATGCCAGAAATAATCATACCATGTTACATATGGGCTAATCAATTAAATGCTGATGCAGAACAGGTACACCACAGGTAAAAAATGCTAAATAGGAACAGGGAATTTGGTCTTAGTTTTGAATAAGGTCTGGCAAGGGTATTTTCAGAAATTCAGACAGACAACTATCTACTGTTTACAAGAAAATGGTGAAGATAGAGTACACAAATTTAATAAATATCTAATTTTATTTAGTTAAAAAGATGATGCTATTCCTACTGGGACAAGTCACTGATTGTGGTATTGATTTATAACAGGTATGATCTCTTAAATCATTAAGCAAATTGGCATTGCTTTGATGTGGGTGTCATTTCTTAAATCAGGAATATCAGTATATGGTATGGGAGAATGGGTGCAATGTCTGATTTTGTAAATTCATTGGTATTCACAAATATGTTGGTATTTGGTGTAAAAGGGGGTGCAATTTCTTAAATGTTGGTGTATTTGGTATAAAGGAGGTGTGATTTTCTTAATAAATATCTCGGTATTTGATATGAAGGGGGTATTTTCCTAGTTCATAAATATACCAGTTTTTCATTTGAATTTGATGCAATTTCTCTATTCATAAATACACATGTATATCTGAATATTTGATATGAAGGGGGTGTAATTTTTTAATTCCCAAGTATATTGTTATGGAGCATGTTTCCCCCTCACATCTGGTTTGGTAACTTGAGATAGCCACCTAGTATTTGGTGAGAAGGAGGGGGGCGTTATTTCTACAATTACAGTATGAATTAAATTTCTGACAAAAAAATTCAAACAAAATGATTAAGTTTATTGTATTTCTTTGAAACGGGTGTAATTTCCTGACAATATTATTTCAAACGATCTTATAAAAACATTGAGAGGAGATGAGCTAGACAATCACAGGCTGAGAAATTATTAATAGACACGTAATTTAGCAAGATACACTAAGTAATATCTCCTTGATCAGGAACATGCATTTAGTTTTCTTCAGAAGGTATGTTCGAAATATCCAATTTAAAACCAGAAATCATCATCAAAGGGTGCATTTATATTTCAAGGGGTAGACTTTCTCAACAAGGGTGTCCCTTTCAATTGTCAGGTATTTTCTTAACTAAACCATATGCTTAATTGTAGAAGGTTTCGAATTGCTTGAGAGGGGAATAGTAGCTCATACAAATGCCAAATTTGCCTCATTGCTGGATTTGAATTTTTGTGTTCTTTTCAAAGGACCGAGGGTGTGTTTGTTGGGAAATAAGGGCTTGTGGGTTCTTAATATCAAGATATTGGAGAAGGTTGCTTTCTTAAATCTGACGTTTATAGGTCTTTGTGAGATTTTTTAAATTTTCTTCAGAAGGTGATATCAAGTAAGATTTTGTTCCTTCCTCATCCTCCTAAGCAGGTATCCAGAATCCTTACCTCCTTCTTCCCCCTGCTATAACCGATTTGGAAGCGCCCGATTAAACTGAATCACATGATCTAATTATGCGCAATGACTTATACATGATTTCTGTCACAGTGTTGCGACAGCCAATCAGATTGCGAGTTCTTAATCAGGGAAATGCTAACTGCTTATCGCAGGGGGTAAAAAGAAAGAATATATTCTGGATTTTGAAGCCCTGTGATCGGAGGATTTCCTTCCTTAGCTGCTTAGACTGGTGCTTTCTTAACCATCTTAAGGGGTATAGTGCTTTCTTAACTCATATATACTCACATGAAACAAGTGTGAATAGCGATAAGTTTCATTATACGACAACTGCCGCAAAACACCTTGGGGACTTTTAGGGCCTGTACCAGGATTATGATGAAATGAGGAACGTGGATTAGTTGGTACTTTCATTGAAGAAGACTTCCATGCCCTATTCTGTAACCCATTATATGTTAATCAATAAAAACATCAAACCTTCTATTATACATATTTATTAATACTTCAAATAAAGATCAAGTTTAGCGAAAATTATTTGCATTTTAGAGACATTATTGAGTTTTTTTAAAATAGAACTGATGCATCATTTTAAGTTTACATATGGCATTTACAATCAAGATGTCACCACCTGCCATTTGTTACAGACACTGAATGCCAACTGCCAAATGCCTACCACCAAACACCAACTGCTGAACACTGTCCACAAAAAGCTGGAAACTAAATCACTTCTGGTGGTGACATAATAGGGGATAAATAATTTTTGAAGTCTTAGGTTTTGAATTGAACTGAAATTGAAAGTCTATTTATTTGCTGTAGTTACAGTTAATTTGGCTACCATTTTAATTTTTGATGGATAACATCCACCAAATAAAAATGTGCCATTTTTCAGATCTCTTTTGGGAATTTGCAAGTATTTCACTTGGAATGTGTAAGTATTCTTATTTAAAAGTTTCATCATGTGTTGCTATAGCACGACTTACTGTAAGCAGAACACATGGATTTGAAATGTTTATTCCCAGATCTATGAGCTCAGTCCCGAAATTGAGCAAATCTGCCAAATTAAGTAGCGTCAAATTAAGTGTATCTACAGTACTCGAAAATTGGAATTTTCAATTATATCCATTGATCCAAACAATGCAATATGCCTGCATTTCATGTTTGTATATTGATGTAACTTGGACCGATGTTTGTTTTCCTGTATTCATACTGAAGGCAAAATAAAGTGCACTTAGGTCAGGGTTTGATTAAATATCATCCCTTTAGGCGCCAAATCATGTTTCATATTGAATTCAACATCATGTAATCGCTTTCCTTTTGTATGTACCATGAAGTAGTACAAGGCCATTTCATTACTGGCACAGGTGTGAAAATCGTTTCATTTTGTACCATGATATTGCATACTGAAATCAACAAGGAATTAGCATGAAAGATGTCAAAATGTAACAATTGTTACAGAAAAGACTGGGTAGATATATAGTACAAAAAATTTTCTGTACAATGTAATATGAAACTTTTAAAACAACTCCAAAACAAAACAAAAAATTCAAGAAATAAAAAAATAAAACATTTCGCGAACTGTTAAATCGTTAAGGTTCACTTCAAGCAGAACTTACCTTGGGGGAATAACTGGATCTGATGTCTGAGATCTGACTGCATTCTATCACCTGGCCCTCCTGGAACATAACATTTTACAATTAAGTTTTCATATCTAAAAGAAACATGCTTTAAACTGTTGCTGTTATTTGCATTAGATTTTACTTAATTTTTTCAACAAAATGATTTGTGTAGAAAATATTGCACAGATATTCGTATCAAAACAACTAAACTATTCAATATTACTTGCCTCTATAGTTTTTCTAATAATAACAAATTGATTATAAAAAATTAAATATATAGTGCTTCACCTCTCATAAGTTTATAAATTCAGTAAAAAAGTTTACAGTAGAACACTCTGTTAGTAGAACACCTCCCAAATGGATCATTATTTTGATGTGTTCCGAAGGTGTTCTACTGAAGAGATATTACTGCACAGTACACTGACATATTATTTCATTGTACTGGTCTACTTACCCTCCCCTCACTCTTCCAATAGATGAAGTGGCCATACTCGTCAACACGGACAAAACACCGACCCTCAACTGAGAATGTATCCTGAAATAATTAAGAAAATTGAATATTGTTGTTATCATATAGCCTGATAGCTAGCTGCATCATCTTTGGTACAGCTTAGTTTCTCTGTAAACAAACAATGAATTCTTTTGGCCTTCTACCAATGTAAATGGTAACTCTATCACAGGCAAATGGTTACAGATGACAGTGAAATGGTCAAAGGTCACAGGGAAATTAATGCAGTCACAGATGACAGTAAAATTGTCAAAGGTCACAGGGTAATACATGCAGTCACAGATGACAGTAAAATAGTCAAAGGACAGTAAAATGGTCAAAGGATAGTAAAATGGTCAAAGGTCATATTGAAATCATAACAGAAATTTCCCTACTGATTCGAGAAATTATAAATCTGAAGTAATTGGTATTAATCAAATTTTGGCCAAATGAACATCAAAATAAGTTGAATCATAAATTATATTTGTTCAGCTATTTTGTATTTTGTACCTCCTCAAAACTTCAATTATTATTGTTCGCAAAGAGGAAGTAGTACTTTTCACTCGAAATCCCTCATAAAAAATCACATTTTCTCCTTAACACATGTCCTTTACCCTTATGATTACAAACCATAACAAGTCCAAAATTAAAAAGTTATGGTTCATCATTAAGGTATCGAATCAATGGCTGGTTTTGATCATTTTCCAATTCCACCAGCTAGATTCCTTAAATGAAAACATGTCTGTCATCGAAACTCAGTTAGAAAGGTTATCTAACGATTTCCTCAGGTTATGTTGAAAGCCAGTTCAGAATTAAATAGCTTGCTTTCTTCAGAATGTAATCAATCCATGAAGCTCTACTCTTACATATCAGCAGTGAGCCAATCATTAGATACACCTTGCAGTTATCTACAGTACAATGTATGTTTGTGTTTGCTTATTCCACAATTCACATCTCTCCATTGTTTGAAATACTGGGTGCTGCACTGTGGTGAAAATTAGAAAATTACATGTGACCTTGTTGAAAAACCTGTTTGCCCCTGTTTGGATAAAGAAAAACTATTATTTGACTAAACTGGGTACAATATTAAGATTGAGTACCCTCTTAAAATATAATTCAACAAGGGAGATCATAGTAACTCAGGGGTGGATTTGAAAACTACCAAGAGGGGTCATTTCAAGTCTGAAAATATATTTGGGAAAAAACATTGGGCCCTTTAAAAAACAAAAATTGACCAACATTTTCAAAAATTTAAGGCCCATTTTCCTGATTATTTGGTCTTGTATTTGCCCAGTAATGCCTAAAAAGGCCCTCTAAATTTTTCCTGGGTCCATCCTAGGGAGGGGGAGGGGTAGATCCGCCAGTGGAACCGGAAGATCTTCATATACTGGGAGGGGATCATTTTGGTTTAGCACAACCTTGCTTAAGTGGGATTAAAAAAAGAAATTAAGTCTTGAGGTCAAAGACTTTGTAAAATGATACTTCTCTCCACAGAGATTCTAACTCATTTGCTGTTGACATTTAGTTAATTAAAAGCTCGAAGGGCTACAATAGGATGAAGAAACTATCTAATGAGAAAACTGTTATAAAACCCCAAAATGGTGTTTCATCATTTAGTAAAAACCATTTTAAACCAATGCCCATAGTGCCAGAACCTATTAAGGGCTGAAGAGGACAACTGTTTTGATGCAGTCAACAAGTTCTAGATGACCTCAAAAGGGACTGTTTTGATACAGCCAACAAGTTCTATATGACCTCAAAAGGGACTGTTTTGATGCAGCCAACAAGTTCTATATGACCTAAAAAGGGATTGTTCTTATGCAGCCAACAAGTTCTAAATGACCTCAAAAGGTACTGTTTTGATACAGCCAACAAGTTCTATATGACCTCAAAAGGGACTGTTTTGATGCAGCCAACAAGTTCTATATGACCTAAAAAGGTACTGTTTTGATGCAGCCAACAAGTTCTAAATGACCTCAAAAGATACTGTTTTGATGCAGCTAACAAGTTCTATATGACCTCAAAAGATACTGTTTTGATGCAGCTAACAAGTTCTAAATGACCTAAAAAGGCATTGTTCTTATGCAGCCAACAAGTTCTAAATGACCTCAAAAGATACTGTTTTGATGCAGCCAACAAGTTCTATATGACCTAAAAAGGTACTGTTTTGATGCAGCCAACAAGTTCTAAATGACCTCAAAAGATACTGTTTTGATGCAGCTAACAAGTTCTATATGACCTCAAAAGATACTGTTTTGATGCAGCTAACAAGTTCTAAATGACCTAAAAAGGCATTGTTCTTATGCAGCCAACAAGTTCTAAATGACCTCAAAAGATACTGTTTTGATGCAGCCAACAAGTTCTATATGACCTCAAAAGGTACTGTTTTAATGCAGCCAACAAGTTCTAAATGACCTCAAAAGGTACTGTTTTAATGCAGCCAACAAGTTCTAAATGACCTCAAAAGGTACTGTTTTGATGCAGCCAACAAGTTCTAAATGACCTCAAAAGATACTGTTCTGATGCAGCCAACAAGTTCTAAATGACCTAAAAAGATACTGTTCTGATGCAGCCAACAAGTTCTAAATGACCTAAAAAGGGACTGTTTTGATACAGCCAACAAGTTCTACATGACCTAAAAAGGGACTGTTTTGATACAGCCAACAAGTTCTATATGACCTCAAAAGGTACTGTTTTGATGCAGGCAACAAGTTCTAAATGACCTGAAAAGGTACTATTTAATGCAGCCAACAAGTTCTAAATGACCTCAAAAGATACTGTTCTGATGCAGCCAACAAGTTCTAAATGACCTAAAAAGATACTGTTCTGATGCAGCCAACAAGTTCTAAATGACCTAAAAAGGGACTGTTTTGATACAGCCAACAAGTTCTACATGACCTAAAAAGGGACTGTTTTGATACAGCCAGCAAGTTCTACATGACCTAAAAAGGCATTGTTCTGATGCAGTCAACAAGTTCTAAATGACCTAAAAAGGCATTGTTCTGATGCAGCCAACAAGTTCTAAATGACCTAAAAAGTAGCTCCCATGGCCTTTAATGAGCTTCAATATGTGAAACGATTGCTGGATAATTATGAGAGTATTAAATCAGCAAATGCTTTTTTGATTTGGGTAATAAGATTATTATCAACCATATTTGAAGTATTCGGATTGGTTAGATCAAGAGCTATAACAAAAGATTATCTCTTATTCGAAGAGTACAAAAAGCTCTTTTATATTTGAAAGAGTACAAAACCATTCATTATATTTGCATCACCAATTCCCAGGACATATACTTACCAAAGAGGTATATGTTGTTAACATCTATTAAAACATGTTATTTGTTTATTTTGATATTATCAATAAATTATTCCATGACTATGATATATTGGCTGAAATCTAATAATTAATAAATATCGTATTCCCTAAATGCAGGGAGATACAAATTTGTGTTATATATGGTTTACATCTATATGAATTGATTTTTTTTCACCGGATTTGATCTAATAAGCATTAGATACAGAAGATCTCTAAAAGAAAAATTGGAGTATTCAATACCACACAATAGATATTTATAAGAGATAGAAGAACTCTATGCAAAAGATTGAAGTACTAGTAATTCACCATACAAAAAGTATTCAATACCACCAAATAGATGTGTGTAAGAGATAGAAGACCTCTATGCAAAAGCTTGGAGTATTCAATACCACCAAATAGATGTGTGTAAGAGATAGACGACCTCTATGCAAAAACTTAAAGTAGTCAATACCACCAAATAGATGTGTATAGTAGATATAGAAGACCTTTATGCAAAAGGTTCAAGTATTCAATACCACCAAATAGACGTGTGTAAGAGATAGAAGGCCTCTATGCAAAAGCTTGAAGTATTCAATACCACCAATTAGGTGTATATTAGAGATAGAAGAAGACCTTTATGAAAAAGGGTCAAGTATTCAATACCACCAAATAGACGTGTGTAAGAGATAGAAGACCTCAATGCAAAAACTTAAAGTATTCAAGTCCACCAAATAGATGTGTATAGTAGATATAGAAGACCTTTATGCAAAAGGTTCAAGTATTCAATACCACCAAATAGACGTGTGTAAGAGATAGAAGACCTCTATGCAAAAGCATCAAGTATTCAATACCACCAAACAGACGTGTGTGAGAGACAGAAGACCTCTATGCAAAAACTTCAAGTATTCAATACCACCAAATGGACGTGTGTAAGAGATAGAAGACCTCTATGCAAAAGCTTCAAGTATTCAATACCACAAAATAGATGTATATTAGAGATAGAAGACCTCTACCACCAAATGGACGTGTGTAAGAGATAAAGGACCTCTATGCAAAAGCTTCAAGTATTCAATACCACCAAATAGATGTATATTAGAGATAGAAGACCTCTACCACCAAATGGACGTGTGTAAGAGATAAAGGACCTTTACGCAAAAGCTTCAAGTATTTAATACCACCAAATAGATGTGTATAAGAGATAGAAGACCTCTATGCAAAAGCTTGAAGTATTCAATACCACCAAATAGATCTGTACGATAGAAGACCTCGATGCAAAAGCTTCAAATATTCAATACCACCAGATAGATACGTATAAGAGATAGAAGACCTTTTTGCAAAAGCTTGAAGTATTCAATACCACCAAATAGATGTGTACGATAGAAGACCTTTATGCAAAAACTTAATTATTCAATACAATCCAAAGGGTGTATTAGAGATAGAAGACCTCTCTGCAAAAGCTTGAAGTATTCAATACCACCAAATAGATGTGTATAGTAGATATAGAAGACCTTTATGCAAAAACTTCAAGTATTCAATACCACCAAATAGATGTGTGTAAGAGATAGAAGACCTCTATGCAAAAGCTTCAAGTATTCAATACCACCAAATAGATGTGTATAAGAGATAGAAGACCTCTATGCAAAAGCTTCAAGTATTCAATACCACCCAATAAGGTGTAAATGCCTTCCAGCCTATTGTTTATCTTCTCCAACAAAGAACATGGCATTTAACTCAAGTTTCTGCCTGGAAATAA